AAGCTTATGACTGGGGCAGTTCAAAGAAGAACATCGAGAAATACCAGCAGGTACCTTTTGGTGAAACAACATTGTCACCCTTGAACAACACAGAAGCACAGAGGAAGAGAGCAATAATGTAGTAGGAGACACATTTTCTGAATACATGTAGATGGAATTAGCCACCACCATCTGTATTATGACTTTCCAGTTTGGAAGTTAACAGAGAAAAAATGCAAGCTTTAGTGGCAATAATATTAAAAAAAAAAAAAAAAAAAAAAAAAAAAAAAAAAAAAAAAGAGAGAGAGAGGGAAGACCAAGCCTTGTCAATGAAACAGTCAATAATAATAATAACAGGAAAGAAGGGCAGGAAATATGTAAAATTAATTTTGAAGAGTATACCTAGTGGATCAGGCCAAAGAGGAATCTTGCCTACTAGGGTGACTGACACAGTTGCCAATATATAAATACTCAGGGAAACAATACTATGAAAAGTGCAACTGGAGAGCACTAATGTGTCTAATAGCTGCTCCTATATTCTGGAAGCCAGAGACAAAAGGACTTTGTCCTTAAGCAAACCCTGAGGATCCTCTCCTCCATCCAAGACTCTAATCCCATCCTTGACCCTCCTGTCCTTTAGGTCTCCACAACAGCCTATCATTAGCAGTTACTTGTTTTAATGATGGCTTTCATGAAAGGCAACTTCCTTTGGTTTGTCTTGAATTTGCTTACCCCTGGAAAGTCACTGGATGCCTTCTAGGTTTTGTGTTATGAGAAATAATGGGGTAATTACTTCCTGTGCTCTTTCTTCATACTGTTCATGATTGTATAAGCCTGCCTCTTGTCCCTGTGCTGGCCCCTGTTTTCCAAACTGAGGAATCCTCACCTACTTCCTCTCTCCTCCTACAGAAGTCACTTCATGCTCCTTTTCATACTCATCACACGTTGTCTTTTCTAACCAGACCACGTATGTCTTCTGGAGCTGACTGGTACTCCAAAACAAGTACGCAAGATGAGGACCAAGATGGGGGTTTATCCTGACATCCTCTGTCTTTGTTCTTGGCTTCTGCCCTATAAATTCCTAGCTGAGAGAGCAACGATCCAACAGTAACTCTTTGTCAGTTCAGGAGGTGCTTTTCCTTTGGCCATACTATCAGCTGCATCACCCCTGTGAACATAGACAGAAAAGGCAAGCAAGGGCATTTCCCTCCAGTTTGTTTTAGGCACCTCTGCTTTGAACAGTGACCTAAAACAAAACAAAACAAAACAAAAAACACCAGATACATGTTTAAAGTTTGCTCTGCTTTACTGGACATTCTTTCCAGCTCTACTTCATGTTTTCCAGGCTACTCCTCCTCTCTACAACGTAGAAGAAATGACTGTACCAACTGCAGTATGGACTGGGGGACAAGACTTGCTTGCAGATCCTAAGGATGCTGACATTTTACTGTCTCGTATTAAGAGGCTTATCTACCACAAGAAGATTCCTGAATGGGCACACCTGGATTTCATCTGGGGATTGGATGCACCTTTGTGTATGTATAATGAAATTATTGATCTGATGCAGAAGTACCCTTAACTCACAAGAAGTAGCCATACCTGGCTCATTCCCTTTCCCTCTGCCATAGCTGGCTCATTCCCTCCTTCCTCAGCCTTTGCTGGATACAAAGGAATCATATAGCATCATACAGCTTCTGCTGGAGTCAGAGAGAGGGTTTCTCCTGGCTGATGCTATTTCCACACTACGTGTCACTACAGTGCCTTTTGGATCCTGATGGTGCACTTCATACTTTGTGGCAACCTTGTGATCAGTAATCACTTTGTAGTTGATAAAGCCTAGATTCTGCAACACATTGTACTTTGCTAACAGGAACCAGGGTTTTCTTGCAGCCTAATGTCTTCTTTAGACCCTAACAGTAATGAAAGCACTGACTTTCTCTGTATATGGTCAATGAAGTCAAAGTTTTCCACTGATCATATCATTTCTCAGTTTAGTGGACTGGAAGTTCCTGAAAAGCTAGTGTAAACTGAGACTAACTCTAGCAGCCATGGCATTTATGTTTTATTATTTGATAAGATGATCACCAGAAAATAAAAATTGAGTTCACACAAAATACTCACTACTGAAAAAAAAATAATAATAAAATAAAAAAAAAAGTTGGTTTGTCTTCATTTGAAAGGGCTTCACACTTTTTTCAAAAGGAAGAACAAGACACAAAAGGAGGGAAGACAGCAGAAAACAGCAGTTTTCTGTCACAAAGAAGAAAGCCAGTCTCGTGGTTCAAGAATGCACCTGTAAGCTGGGAAACTTGTGTTCAAGGTACCTCCCAAGACAAAGAATTCTTGTCAGACTTGATCTCTGCTGACAACACTTTCAGGATCTGTGTACCTGAACTCTCCAGGGTGGGAGGCAGGAACTCACTTCATCTTGGCAACAACAGCACTCCAGTTCCATCAGGAACTTCACATCTCCTGCTAATTTGCATGGAAGCTACTAACTACTACAGGGTAGAGCTGCTTGAACCTTTATCACAGCTCTGAGAAGCCTCTCTGGGGAGTAAACATTCAAATAAAGGGCACCCAATCATCTCTAGAAAAAAATCATTATCTTCAACCCATGTGTACAATTTGCCCATCAGCGGAAAGGATAGCTTTAAAACAGTGCTGAAGAAATGTCATCCTATTCCATTTCCTGGGGGAAGTCTGCCTCTACAAACCTCATCGCAGTGACATAGTTACTGCACAGAGGCACTCACCTGAAGGGTAGCCTCCATGCTGTTAGCTTACAGCATTATGGCTCATCGTGCCTCCACAAGGAAATGCCATTAGCTTCACCACGAAAAGAAACACAGTGCATTTTAGGGGGCCTCTTTTCAGAGTGAGACCCTCATTCTCCACTTGAATCAAGTGTCAATGTGGGTGAAGCCTGGGATGATAACCAGGGCAGGTACAGCTGTGACACTTAAGACAGTTCACAGGTGACACAATATTACTCTATGAAACGGTTCATTAGCCAAACAAATTAACCACGGCCAATGCCGCTTCTATCCCTTTCTGAGCCCACTCCTGAAGCCCATCCCATTTGCTTGGGATCAAGGGCTCCACAAATGTAAATAAAGTTTGACCCAAAGAAAACAGCTTCCCTCCAGGCAGGGACATCCCTTCCACCCAATATAAATTCCTGGGGACAAAGCATTCCAGAGAGTAAGCCCATCAACTGACTTACTGCTTGTGAAGGACATGCATGAGGACTTGAGGCCTATTTATGAGTTTCTAGTACTTAGGATTGGAAGTGCAATAGCAGTATGTTTGAAAGCAGTCAGAACATCCTTCAGATTCACCTGGGAAAGAGATCAGAGCTCTACCCCTATTTTGCTACTTGGGAGACCACATAAGAATCAGGGTGTTGAATTTTCTGGCATGGAAAACCAATAAAAGCAGGCTGGACAAGGAGCACTGGAAACATCATGGGGACTGTTGATCCCACCTTGGGACATGAGGACAGATATGTTTCATCATGTCTCAGAGCCCTTCTGAGTGATGAATTTATGCTCTGCTGAAAGTTTTTGTCATGCAGAGACATCAAAGCTGCTGAGCTGCAGTGCTTTTCACTGAGAAATCACCCTTTCCATCATCCCACAGAATGCTCTTGTTGTGGTTTAGCGCCGGCAGGCAGCTCAGCACCACCCAGCCGCTCGCTCGCTCACCCCAGGTGGGATGGGGGAGGGAATCAGAGAAGTAAAAGTGTGAGAGAGAATTCCTGGGTTGACATAAGGACAGTTCCTAGGTAAAGTAAAAGCTGCACATACAAGCAAAGCAAAACCGGGAATCCATTCACTATTTCCTACTGGCAGGCCAATGTTCAGCCCCTTCCAGGAGAGCAGGGCTCCTGAGGCCTGATGGTGAGACTCAGGAGACAAACACCATTGCTCCAAACATCCCCCCCTTCATCCATGCTTTTGTTGCTGATCATGGTATCCTATGGCATGGGACATCCCTTTGGGTGGTCTGGGCCAGCTGTCCTGGCTGTGTCCCCTCCCAGTTCACAGTGCACCCCCAGCCTCCTCACCGGCAGGGCAGCACCACTATTTTCATTAAAAATCCAAAACACAGCACCATACAAGCCTCTATGAAAAAAAACTAACCCTATCACAGCCCAAAGTGTGACAGTTCTGTGCTTTGCATGTAGAGCACAACCACAGTAATGTGGCTACTCTGACACCCCGTTCTTACATCACTCCTCTCCTTTCTCCACCACCCAGCAGCAGCATGTTATTTGCAGCCATGTTCCCGAGAACACATAGCTTTCACTTGGTCTTCTTCTAAATGCTCATCAGTCCATGACAAAATACAAGTTCTTCCAAAGACATTTATGACTTAATTAGCTGAAAGGACTGGTGTTCAGGTAGGAGAAATCTACTTTGCAGCCTTGCTGCCTGGGGACACAGAACGTGTCCTTCTGGCCACGGCCACCAGGCCAATTTCAGTGAGTGCTGAGCCCCTGGGCTGTCTGCAATTAACTCAGCGGTTAGGCAGAGGTCTCTAAGGACACTATGTTTTCAGAGTTCATGGAAATGGCTTAAGAGAAACTAGAACCCTTATTTGTTCCCCCCCTTCCTCCCTGTGAGAAAGGTTATATGAAGTGTTCAAGCCTTCTTTGGCACCAGAGGATCTCTGCGGGAGCCATGTCAACTCTGAGAGACTGATCTAGAATATGATGGGTATCAGAAGCAGTGGTGCTCACTGAAAAATAGATTTGGAATTAAATAAATGCAAAGCAGCAGCAGAAAGAGTGTTCTTGAGAGAGTATGTCGAGGGTAGCTGGACATTTCCTCCTCTTCATCCTAAAATACTACATTCAGAGCAGCCACCGAGACAGGCAACAGTACAGGTCAAGGTCTGCCACAGCCTCAGGGAACTGGGACGCCCAGGTCTGTGTTAAATATCGTAACCACTGGTATGTAAGCAATTCTTAACCTCTCCTGCTCCATGGTTTTGTGAATTTAACTGTAAGATCTTTTTCATCACAAAGATTTCCTCACTTCTGAAGCACTGCCAAATCAGCACTTAAACATGCTCTTCAATACATGCTGCCAACTCATGACACTCATTGCTGCTACCCTGAAGTGCTCATTGTGTTTTGACTTCCTTTTATTGGCATAGGTTTCTGCCAGTGAATCAGTCTGCTGGTGGAGACAGACAAGGAACTGCAGCAGAGGACTCAAGTCAAAGCAGAGGTAAGTTTCTTGTACATACATGATCATGGTCTCTCTCTGCTGCCTGTCTCCATAAAGTTTTGCAGTCTTGGTTTTGTGTCGTTGCTTGTAAGAATAGACAGCTTATTTCTTCTCTGTTCGTAAGCCTACTGCTACGCACAGAAGTGCATGTCTGCTCAAGTCAGAAGACAAAGAAGTTCAACCTGCAAAAAAAAAAAAAAAAAAAAAAAGAAAGAAAAAAGAAAAAGAAGAAAGTGCAACTATTTTATTTTTCTCTACTTGTTTTATTCAGTCTGAGAGCAAGGGAATGAAGGTCTGCAGCTGTGTGTGTAAATTGGATGTTCTGTTCTTGCAGTCCCATGCACATGTATGTTTTATTAGTAAGCCAGCAGACTCTCATATGCATTCAGTCATAGCTGCTTCTGTGGTTGGTGTGTGTATGCCTTACAGCCAATATGAAGTAAGTTTTATACTGCTTAAAGCACAAAGCTAGATGGATAAATTTCTCAAGTCTTATAACTTACTTTCAGCAAATCTTAAAAGTCCCTAAAGATCTTTCAAGGGCATTTCTCTCTCTGACCTTTTTTCCTTCTACGTATGTTTTTTATGAGTTTACCAAGTCCAATATTTCCTTATGACTTCATTTCTCTCAATAAAAAATGGCTGTTGAAAGCTCCTAACTGTAAGCCTTTGCTCCTGAAGCTTAAGGGAGCATTGGCCTGCCAAGATTGATGTTACTTAGCCTGCTGTATCTGATTTAAAAGGTGAATACCTGGAAGTCTGTGAGTTATGCCAGCTGAGCTACGTGATAATAGAGTGCATCGAGAAAAGTTTGCCCTAAAAAACCCAAAGTAATTTTGCCTCTACATTGCCTCAGCTAGTCTTGCTAGTGATTTGAAAGCAAGCTGAGACACTAGCAAAATGCTTTATTCCCTCTTGCACAGAAAGGGAGATATGTTTTATTCCCATTAGAACAGAGCAAAATGTCAAAAACCAGAAAAGAGTGTTGTGCTGACTCAGTGTGTAGCTGGGAGGCTTCCTGTTTGGACAACAAAAATTAAGAAGTATTTCACATATAAAGGGAATTGAATGGTGTTTGTTTTGATGTGAAGTTTAAAGCTTTGGGTGTTTCCAAACTCTGCTTCATTCCAGTTGTTTGATGACTCAGGAGGTTTGGCTTCTTTCAATTTGTTCAGTCAAATTTGAAGGTTAAATTGAAGAATAGAAAAAAGTCAGAATTCCTTCTCCTATATGGATATTCAGAGAGTGCTTGGGTACCTTTCCCTCACCCCCACAGATCCTGATCACCTTCCTCATTACTTGCCAGGGAGTACTCTCTTACCTTACCTTGATCGACAGCTCCATTTCCCAGTTGAAATAAACATCACAGCAGCATGTCTTGCCATAGCAGATGTCTTACGCTAGAAGCAGACTCCAGAAATGTGACTGCATGAGGACCTCTGTCCTCTATTAAAAATTGGATTCTCTGTGTTTAGTGGACCTACCAACGTGTGGTTTCAGAAGGACTTGTTTCCCAAGACTGCTTAACTTCCTAACGCAACCTATAATTCATATGGGTCTCCTATGAAATTCCCTCACAAACCCTCCTGACCAGCCACACATGCCATGGCTACTTTGGAGCCGTATGAATGCTGATTAGCTGGCTAGTTTACCTGTGCTGACTGCTCAGCTGGTTGCAGAACATGCCTCAGCTGCCTTCCCCCAGCTGGGCACGAACCCCACTGAACAGTCCTTCCCCAGCAAACAGGGCTCAGGGGTTCCTGATAGCCCCACTACTTAGCAGGCTTGTATCTCAGTGTTAAACTTGACGGAAATTGACATCAGAAGTTAATAGCAGGATGGACATAAAGGTGAGCCAGGATAAACACCCCTCAGTCACAGAAGCATGCCCTGTTCTGAGGAAACCCGGCCTACACAAGCAGCAATGTCCCCAGTCATTACTGGTGAGGCAGTCCTACAAGAAGCCCTGACGAGCTGAAACATTACGTTGCATTACTCATCCAGGGAATCTATTGTTGAACTTTAGGTAGCCTTCCTGACCTTTAAGATTGTTATCTACAAGCAGAATGGTTGCTACTTTTCTCTTCCCAGCCCTCATTCTCTCTTCACACAGGCGGGTTCAGCATACAATAATAATTAAGTGTATAAGGGCATTTCCAGAAAGTGTAAGCCCAATTGTGAGCTTCATGGATGAATCATTTTTGTACAGTTCTTCATGTTAGAAAGAAAAATCCTATCCCACCTCCTTGCAGCTCTCTTGTAAGTAAGGATCAGTGTGCGTAATAGCACTTCTCTTGCCATTCTCTTGCAGTTTTAGCTCATACTTGCACACTCAGTAGCTTCCTATGGCATATAACATGCTCTTCCCTTTTCCAGGGAACTTTAGAAACAAAATTTGCATGATGATAAAAAGGTCAGGGAGGCTCACAGATTGCAGTGTTCCTATACTCATTGACTCAGTTGTGGAGAAAAATGACTAAGGCCTGGAATCTTATCTATGGTAGGAGGTATCAGTGTAATCTGGCACTAGATAGACTGCACTCTCTAATTCCTATTCAGAAAAGTTCCCATGTGATCATCAGTGGGCCCAGGAAAGAGCAAGGTGTCACCTCCCTGTGACCAGGACAAGATCTGCAATGACAGCTCTCTCAAAGAGAGAAAGGATACAGGGCCATGGCAACATGCAGGCAGTCTCCATTGTTTACTGCTCTAAAAATGAATCATTCCACAGTTTCTCACTGGTGATAAGCATCAGTTTCAAGACAGATACTTTGGGCTCAGAAGTAGCGGAAGCACAAATGCAGTTATCTGGGGATAGCAGAGGAGGCTTTTGGATGAAGAGGGCAGCAAAGGGCTGATGAAGATGCTCATGGGGATGCTGAATGGAGACCTGGATGAGCCAGTGTCAGCCTGAAAGGAAAGGTTGACTGGGAACTGACTCATGGGGCTTTTTGATGGCCACACATAGTCATCTTTTTAGCACCATCATCTCAGAGGAACTAATTTCCAGAAGAACTGTAACATGGTCTGGGGCAGATCACCCATGGTGAAAGTACAAGCTGGCACTGGTCTGGTGCAAGTTTGTTCCGCTAATCCCATTACGCATCCTCTTTGAGCCTCTGAATCACTCCTGGCCCCTGCATAACTCTTCACCATCTTCCCTGGCTGATCTCTCACCCTAGCACACTGCTGACCAGCACCAGGAATGGCACTGCTTCTGAAGGAGGAGAGGGAAGGTGGAAAGAGGGCCCTCACCAAACCTCCACCACCTCATTCCTGAAGAAAAAGGAATTCTCCTCTCACTCTCCTGCTGGCAGAGAGGTGGAGGCACATATAGGTAGCCAGTCTGGGTGATGGTCATCCCAGGTGACTGTGCTTCCATGTCAAGTTTCTGCTTGACTCAATGCAGGAGCTGGCCATGCTTACCAACCACAATTCACTTGTCCTCTACAAAATGCTCAGGCATATTCTCAGATGGTGTCCCCAGGTGTTTTCCTCTACCATTCTGCAACTGTGGTCTGTAGACAGTCCCTCCTCACACAGGTATGTGCTCCTGTCAGCCCCTTGGGGAGCACCTGGGGCAACCTCCAAGAGATTCCCCACCTGGGTCTCCCTGTGGAATTCCCCAGCTCTCCCTTCCTACAGCAAACACACGTGCCTCTGCTCTTTCACACAGCCCCGAGATGTGGTTCCTCCTCGTGCTGCTCTGCTCCCAGGGAGCTGCCTTTTCAGCAGGGTTCACAGCACCCTTCACTCTTGGCTCAGAGGGAAGACAGCACATGAAGCACCGCAACCCTGAAGACTTTATGAACGTTGTAAGTTGTGGCACTTTCTCTGCCTTTCTTTTAAAGTTTCTCTCACAATACAACCACCATGGTACCAACTCTAACAAGCATCTCCCCTGAACCTGCTGAAGGGCCCTGGAGATCTGGGCTGCTGAATTTTTACCCCAGAAGCAGGACTCAGCTTTAGACTGTGTCCAGAGCACACACAGCATCGTGTATCTGAACATGATGAACACGAGGCTGGGCTATACTTATAACTGTGACTTTCTTATAAAGTCATCTTTCTTAACAATCTCTGGTAACAACCTGTTTGCTCAGGATGGTGGCAGGAGAAGCTTAACCCCTTCTTCAAGCAGTAGATTCTCACAACACAAAGTAATCCAGGACCCCTTGCTCTGACTCACAGAACTGGCAAAATTAGGTGTAGGTGGTCTCATCAGGTTCCTTGTGACAAGAGCTCCACACTTGGTTGCCTTGCCTGCCCATTCAGCTTGTTTATGCTCCAGAAGGGGATGGCTTTTATATTAACGAGCTTTCCTTTGGCTTCCCACAGAGTGAAATTATCAGGTATCACGGATACCCCTGTGAGGAGTATGAAGTTACCACTGAGGATGGATACATACTTGCTGTTTTCAGAATTCCCAGTGGGAGGAACATGCAAAATACAGGTGTGACATGGGCATAGGACATAAGGAAGGTCTGAGATCCAACTCCTACATGAATCAGGATACTCTTTTCTACATGCTGTTCTGCCTTCAGCATTTTTTAGCTGTAGATAGCTGGTTTCAGTGTAGGACCTGTACACTGGCTGTCTGGCACAAAAGTAGGTGGGGACTGGCCACCTCATTACATTTTTTATCTGTCATTCCTGTCATTAAATGGTTAAACTGCTTGCATGTGACAAATTCTTAGGTTTTCTCAGCCCAATATCTATACATAGTTCTCCTGGGAGCTTCTATAAGCAGGAAAGATTTAAAGCCTCTCACAGACTAAACCCTGCACTCCAATCTCAGAATGACATTAATTACTGCTCCAATATGAGAATACTTTAATTTTTTCCAGGGAAAAAGCCTGCAGTCTTCCTACAGCATGCTTTTCTAGGAGATGCCACCCACTGGATTTCTAACCTGCCCAACAACAGCCTAGGCTTCATCCTTGCAGATGCTGGCTACGATGTCTGGTTGGGAAACAGCCGAGGGAATACTTGGTCTTCAAAACACAAGACCCTTAAAACCAGCCAGAAAGAGTTCTGGCAGTTCAGGTACTCTTTGGATGGGGAATTATTCAAGACAGAAAGTCCAAGGGAACTAGATAGCTTCAGCCTAAAGTTTTTTTTACTTAAAACATCATCAGAATAGTGTCCTTGTTACAAGCCAAGGACAGTAAAGATCAAGACGAAGAAGTATGGTCACTAGTAGTTGTGGTTGGAAGTACTGGCTGAGGAAGAGATTTCAGACACTGGGAACTGAAAGGGGATGCTGAGAAAAAGGGAGACAGCACTGTGAGAAGGAAAGCAAGCTGGAACAGGCTTAGCAGCCCTGTCTAGAAATTTCTAATCTCTCATGGCTTAAGTCAACCAAGAGAGAAATGTGTTTTGTAACCCCTGCTAGTGAAAGCACTGATTAAATTCACTTCCCCAAGGGCCACATGTGACAGACAAAATTTGCACCTCCTCTGCAGAGAGCCTGAGGCATCAGGCAACCTGTCAGTACGGCTGCATCCTTCTGTCCCCTTCTTGTCTTTGAATGGGTCCTGCCCAGTGCAATGAACAAGACTGACATTTCAGTAACACACACTGTGATAGCCAAAAAGTCTGCCAGCTTTTTGTGTTTCTCCCCTGTAGCTTTGCTGAAATGGGTAAATATGATATTCCAGCAGAGCTGTACTTCATCATGAATAAAACCGAACAGAAGGATGTATACTATGTTGGTCACTCTGAAGGCACCGCATCAGGTAAGGTCAGCACATTTATGTGCACAATCGTTCGTGTTCCCATCTGATCAGGAGGCGAGTTTCCCCATTGCCTCAGCAATTGTTCTTTTTTGTGAAGAAGTGCCTTCTGAGTTGAGGGCTGCAAAATGTGACACTTCTAAAGCCAGCTTTGGTTACCATTAATAAGCAAATAAATCTAATAGTAGATCTAAACATTGTTCAACCAATAATTAGAGACATAAAAGCCAGTCCTTATTGGGTACTCCAAGTACTGACACTGGGCACTCTTCTGAAATTCTCAGCAACAAGAATTTTCATTAAGTTCATCTTTTCTATTAAGGCATACAGTTGTTTTTCTTGTGAAGTGTAGGGAAAAACTAGTAAGAAAAAACTGCACATAAATGCAAAATTTCAAAGAAGAGAAAAGTAAAAAGAACCTCCACATTACTAAGTTGTATGACTTATTGTCAATCCTACAATTAAAAGCACAGTTCATGAGTGTATATAAAACTGTCCACGTTACTGTTTAAAAACACATTGTTGGAGACTGAAAATTAGGAAATAAAAAGTATTAATAACTTAACCAGCTTTGTAGTGTTTGAATGCAATTTTCTTTCAGCACCAGGTAAAAGTTCCTAATGTTTATGGTTTATGTGCAAGACCCGTGAATGAACATTGACTAGAAGTGATCAACTGCCCATTCATTAGTGTTAACTGCCTGGAAAAAGAGAAGAAAATGTGGAAAAGTCATATATTGTTAAATCTCCAGCCCTTTTCTTTCTTTTCCTCTCATAAGAGTATTTAAAGACTCTGATGGCAAAACAAACTTACCATTCATGCTTTCGTCAGCTGCCTTTGATGCAATCAGTTGAAAATGTTTAAAATTCCCAGTATTCAGCATGTTATTCTACTGCCCCATGGAAGCACAAACATACATAGTCCTTCAGAGACTATAATATGAAAAAAAAAAAAAATAAATAATAATAAAAAAATTTAATAATAGCTTTGTGAGGAAATCTGATTTTATCACAAAAACCTCCTAGCCATGTCACCTGCAAAAACTGAATAAAAGCCATGTCCAGATATGCTGTCAACCTCAGGATGAACTCTGTTTCCCAAATAAAATGTATTTCAGGATTTAGCATCAACACTTGCCTTAGCTAATACACACAGCAAAGACAAAGAGACAACTGATGACAAATCTAGTCTCGCTTCTTGTTTGCTACCTACTGTTTATTCGTTTGTTTTTGCCTGTGGAAGATGTCTTCACTAACTCAGGCTCTCTCTTCTGTTTGTAGGCTTTATAGCATTTTCTACATATCCTGAGCTGGCTGAAAGGATAAAAGTGTTCTTTGCTCTTGGCCCAGTAACCACCTGCTCGCATGCTACAAGCCCTCTGATGAAGATAGCACATCTTCCTCCAGCACTGCTCAGGGTATGTCTTTTTTCCTCCTCAGAGGCTCAATGTCCATCTTACCCTTCTAGGGTTCCTCAACCCGAGCTTAAGTGCTTCCAAAGGGGTGAGATGCTTGGGATGAACAAAGTGCTGTTGAAAAATCTCTTCTGAAACTCTGGGGGGGAGCACTGGAGAACAGGAAGATGGGGCTTGCAGCAGCAGGTTCCAGTGAAGCAGGAGACTTGTGAAACTGTCTTGTCATAGGACTCTTGCTGTTAACTAACATCATGCTGGCCTTGTGCCGGAGGAACTAAAACAGAGCTGGAATAACAGCCATGATGATCTCAGACTTCAGAAATGAGTGAGCACTGAGGTCACTACACTAGAAATGGAAGGATGGTTTCCTCCAGGACTGAAGACAGTAATATGAGTCAGGAAGGACATGTGGTGCACTAGGGGAAGAAGATGTTTTAAGGTGTACTGGGAGGGCAAGCTGTTTCAGAAGTCTCTGACTGTAGTGTTAAGAGGCAAGAATATTAGCAACAGTTTCCTGCATAAAATGCTCCTCATGCTCCTCTAACAAGAAAAAAAAAAAAAAGTATTGCACTTTTCCCTTTCCTCAGTTAACACTTGGCTGGAAAGGAACCATGCACCAGATTGGATTTATGAAAGGACCTGTGACGGAGTTCTGTACAAACATGGATAAGTTTTGTGGCCAAGTACTCTGTTATATAGCTGGGGGCAACATACAAAATCTGAACACGGTAAGTACGTGCAACAACACCTAGTCAAAGTAAAACTAAAGCCATTTTGGAAACTGCATTTTGCACTCCATCATTAACTAGTAATTGTCACAAATGTAAATGTACATAAAACACAACAGTTCTCAGCAGGCTGAGGGAATGCAGGACATTGTGTGAACAGTACCAAATAGGACTAGACCTAATGATGGGACCAAAAACCAGGCAGAAAGGACTGAATTCAGTCTGGAGCTATACTGCATATGTCTCTATCTGTGTCCTCTTTTAGAGCCAATCTGACCAGATTTTGGTCATACACAGATGCTCTTCAAAAAGAGACAGTGGATGATGGAGTCAGATTTCAGTGTTCTTCCTCAGCACACAGACACCACGGTCTTCTGAACCCTGGAATAATTAAAAGACAGGAAAAGCTCCACTTCTCTTCCCATATTTTAGACTGCTTGCATTAGAACATGGTCCCAAAGAACTACCCTAAGGAGCACACCCCATTTTTGCTGTCCTCAGAACCAAGCCCAACAGTTCAGTCCACAACACAGAGGGCTACAGAAATGCCTTGCCTGTGCCTGAGGAGTGCAGCACAATGGGATTCACAAGGGCTAGTAAGGGGGACAGGACGGACAGGAGAGTTGGCCCTATACTTGCCAACATATGGATCCTGTAGTCTTAATTCCCCTCTACAGAGGCCAAAGTATGCAGAAGCTGGCCTGTGCAATGCTTATTATAAAAATCTCTCAAAAGACTAAGGCCCATTTTTCTCCATCTGTGACGACTTATAAAAGCACATATGGTAAAGCAATGAGACTCAAAGGTTCAATGCAAAAGCAGTTAAAGGCATAACAGCCTTTTTGAACAACAGAGTTAAACCTTTTAGGATCTTTCTTGACTTGTGTTAAGTCACCAACCAACTTCTCAGGGCAAGATAACAAGCCTGAGGAGGAACCTGAGGGGATGGACTTAGAACATCTCCTCAAGAGAACTATAAAAATGCAGGCAGAAGAAAAGGCAGTCTGTGTTTTGTAAGCTGGCTTCTTTAGCACCAGGAGAAAAGTGAAGACAAAAGCAAATCTTCAAAGACTTATGTCTGTGAAGGGGTTAATGTAAGGTGAGGATTCTACTTAGAAAGGACAGGAACGTTTTTTTCTGCCACTAAGGAACCACATGATTCCACAGTGTCACTATCTTCATGAACAGATGCGCTTTCATGAGAAAGCTCTGCATGCAGATGTGTACCATTAACCAGCTATTCCTAAGTCTGCCTATAAGTCTTCTGCTTGATATTGATATGACTATTATATTGATTTGAGTATCCTATTAAAACTGGGCTTTAACACAGCAGCAATATGTTACTCAGGTTCTTCACAGCTTTACTCTGTCACAACAGTGAATCCCTACCTTTATAACACTTCTGCTTTCTCTCCAGAGTCGAACAGATGCTTTGGTAGCACATTCTCCAGCCGGGACATCAGTACAGAACATCATTCACTGGCATCAGGTATAACTGTGTACTGACATAAGCAGACTCGTACTACTGCTTTTTATGCAACTGACAGCCTACAGGGAAGTCCACAGGCGCTGGTTCTGGGAAATTACCCAACACATCTTCTCACACAGTGCCGTAAGCAGCTGCCACCAAGGAAGCACTGCTTCCCATCGCTCACCAGACCATTACCCACATTGTCCCTTTCATATCAGACCTTTCTGCATGTTAGGGTCTAGTGGCTTCCAGCCTTCAGTTCCATTTGTGAAGGCAATTGCCTCGAAAGCTGCAGAGAAGCACAGTCGAGGCACTTGGAAGGCACAGTAGGAAGACGCTGAAACTTGAGCTGCCAGGGGATGAGCCAGAACAAAGTGATCCAGGATAAAGCTTTTCTCCCAGAAGGTTAATTGCAGCCTGGATCACCTCCCAAAGCCAGTTAACCACACAAGTGCTTCTGCTGGCACAATGGAAAAGTGGGGGACTACTTTATAATGCTCCAGTACATGACAAGCAAAATTTGTTCCCAACAGCCAGGTTTTTAGAAAACCCTCTTAGCTACTCATGCCAGTGTCCATCTCCTGGATTCCAATTCTTTAAAGGTGGGCTTCTACTTATACACGGGCAGATCTGAGCTCTTTTCTGCTTGTCCTCTGAATCAGACCAGGGCAAAAAAGCTCCAGAGCAGAAGCACATCACTGCATGCCTCCAAGGTAACTCACACGCTGAGTCAGGATCCACCTGCATATATCTTCTAGACAGATCCCCCGTTTCTACAGACATGATGGTGTAAAATATCTGTGTGCATCCTCTGACAAAAATTCCTGACAGTAGACCACTCGGGATACATCCACCCAGAGCCAGGAAATGAGGACCAAACCATTGACAGTCAGTGGCTTTGCAGCCTATTTTGTCAACCTCTAACAAAGTCAAGTGGCTAGAAAGTAAACACAGATACTATAGAAGAAAACAGCAAAAACAATGATATACCAAGTATATTTCTAGCACATTCCCAACTACTTAAGCCTTGAAGTCAAGATTTTCTAAATCACAAAATCCAAGTGGGATACTGGCATTCTCTCACCATGTATTACACAGTCACTTAAAAATGAAATTACATGTCAGGTTTGTGGAAAAATAAAATAAAATAACAATAAAAACACAACAGATATGTATACACTTCTTCACTCCTCAGTCCTACAGGGCATATGGCATGTCTTCTAGACAAGAGAAGCTCAAAAGGCCATGTGTCTAATGTCCCTCCTCAAAACTGCTGTCAGAGCACAACTTACATATAGCCAAATTCTCTAACAATTACAGGGGCACTGGAAATGTGACCACTACTGTCAGCAGACCAGACACTGCTGACACACAAAACAACAAGTTGTGGGAGGAGAAATCATAAGCTACACTAGATAGCCACTAAGAGCCCTGACAAGTACTAGACAGCCTGGCCCTCCTGCCAAGGTGAAAACTGAGCACAACTCCGCATCACAAACGGGAACAGCACCTTAGTTAACTTGGTCAAACAGCACTTTAAAAACAAAACATAACAAGGGGGATAGTTGAGGATCAGGAGAGAACATTAGCAAGGGCAAAAGCAATAAAGCCTCTCACCCTATAACCCATCCTCAGTACCTGTGGAAATCTGAAACTGGAGGAAGGGGTGGGAGGAAGCCACAAGCCACCATCTGAGCCTTGGGTCAATCACAGGGAAGAAAATATCTCCTGCACTCTGCTCTGTCTCTTAACAATACACTTTCATTTTATCTGTCCTTGTTAAAATATTCACAGATATCAGAGGCAGGCCAATTCCAGGCTTATGACTATGGCTCAAAGGAAAACATGAAGAAATACAACCAGGTAAGGCAATATGGTTGTCACATGCAGGTAAAGCAATATTGTTAAGTAACAAGTCACAATAAGTCACAAACAAAACAACTAAGACCAACTGTTGCCCCAGCAAAAGTTAAAGTACCCATGCTAAGTATGCACACAAATAAGCTCCACAGTCCTTCCACGATAAACAGAAACATTGCTCTTTCCTTATGACCACCTCTGAACAGCACGAACAGGTGTCAAACTCCAGAACAATTTCTTGCCTTGCATTTCAGAAATGTTTAGAAATAGGATGGATCGTTCCCTTCCAGAGTAGGTGGGGACCAGGGCTAGGGACATAAACATAACTGAGAGGCAGCTTGACCCTTGCTGTTTTCCTGGAGCAAGTGCAGAAGGGAAACAGAGAGATGTCTGCACAGCATCCTTTCTCTAAACACAGCTTCTGATTAACAGCATGCACTAAGGTCTCCTCCCTTTCTTGCAGCCTACTCCTCCTGCCTACAACATAGAGAGGATAAGCACACCCATTGCTGTTTGGAGTGGAGGACAAGACAAATTTGCAGGTCCAAAAGACATTGCAAAGCTACTTTCTCAGATTACTAATCTCTGTTACCATAAGCACTTTCCTGAGTGGGGACATCTTGATTTTATCTGGGGTCTTGATGCGACTGAGAGAATGTATCAGAAAATCATTGAACTAATAATAAAATACCTTTGAAACCACATGTAGAGTGTTGATTCATTTAGTATAAACTTCCAAAAATTTTATTTGGTGATAAGGGTGATGCCTAGGGAAAAGAGAAACACACAGACATGCAAAATGAATACCACTTTAGGTGTTCACATGTACTTGTTTGTTTCTTGCTTTCCACAAAGTTTGAGGTTTCACATTATGTTATTGTGACCATCATCTTCCTAAGAAGGTTAATGTGTATGTGAATGAAAATTGAAAACACAAATATATTTGGGCCTACTTTTCAGAAATCACTTAATTTAGACAGCTTTTATTTGTACAAGACTGATTTTCTTGTGTATCTTATGTATCCCACAGCACCATTATCCCATGAAGACACAAAAATGGGATTTGCTCATCTGTCTGTTAAAGGACAACTCACCTTTGTTTAAATTAAATAATTTATCCACTTGCCAGAGAGCTTAGCTTTTTTTTATCTCTTTTTCCCCTCTTCATGTTTACCAACATTGTCATGACCAACAAGATTATTTTCACTCATAAGAGTCTGAGGAGACAATCAATGACTTCCAAATACCAAGGAAAGCAACCTCAGAAAAACTGTGTCAGCCTTTTCTTTTTGGACTCATCCCAGTTTTCTCCTGCCTTCTATGATCACACATCACCCAAGGCTTTATTCATACACTCTAAACACCCCAAAAAAAAAGACCACAGGTGGCAGCTTAAGAATGAGGAGATGCAGATGCATCAGGCAAGCTGCACTCCAAGCAATACAGCTTCCTCCCCATATAGTATTCTTGACACTGTCAATTGAGTTGCTGAAAGCACTCTGGGCTTTCAGCTTTAACTTCTACATAATACTATGTCTTGATCATTCTGTGTTCACAAAATTTCTTCAGTATAGGAAAACAGTCAAAAATTTTCCCTTCCAGCCCAAAGAGATAGCAGCTAAATCCATACTAAATCCATGCTATCCAAACAAGTGCCCCATATCTACTGACCTACAAGTTGATCTGGTAAATACTGTCCCCAGGCTATACCCAAAATGGTATAGCCACTATATATATTATATATAGCTATAGGCTCAGACAGGGTAGTTTATTTCCCAGGTGTTTCTGTGTGGGGCCTTGACCCCATATTGCTCAATCAAGACCCTCTGCAGCTGGAATCAGTATCCAATAGGACAAGTACACTGAAAAATACACCGGCTTTCTGCAACACAGAAAACACATGCTAACTTGCCCATACACCTAGTCTAGAAGCCTTAGCAGTGTTGATCATGGCACTTATTTTCTAAACTTATGACATCTTACAGAAAATGGTCAAAACTGCCAATAAAAACAAAGATCCATTAGACCAAGGAAGAAAGATACAGCAGTGTTTGAAAGAAGAGATTCCGCTTTACTAGTGCGTTATTAAATCGCAAAGTGCCAGGCCACATTTACAAATCATTTACGACTGCTGGTTTTCTACTGCCTTCATATATGCGAGAGAAGAAACATGAATTTATTATTATTGTTTTGGTATGTGCATCCTCTGCTGTGTGCACCACTTTTAAAAACATACTATCCTGTCTAGTCCCCTGGGAATGACACATCTGGCTCCTATCATCAGCATTTCAATTATTGATTTATTTTCTATTAGTAAACTGTTTATATTGGAAAGGTAGTCAGTCTAGACACTTGCTTCTCTTCTGAGACTAACATATTTTCATTGTTATTTATTAATGTATTAAAGCAACCTGGGAACTGGCTTTGTTTGTGGACTTCAACAACTTAATCTCTTCTTGCTCTTTCTTATCTGAGAAAAGAGAAGATAAACCTTCCCTCACAGCAACAAGGTGTGTGAAATTTGTAGCAGAGATGGAAGGAGGTAGAACAGAGAGATCTGTTTGACAAGTCATTTCCATTGTTGGAAAAGAAATACTAAGAGGAAGGGTGCCAGACCTTGTATAAGCTGCTGTGGTATACTGTTCAGTTGTCAAGCATATCCCCTAAAGAACCAGTAACACACACTAAAGGATATTTTATTACTCCATCAGCTGCCAATCCATCATGTGCAATGTTTAGGTTTACAGAAGTCTTACCATTGACTTGCTTGTCTGTGCAAGTCAAGCAGTAAAACTGGGGGAGCAGATGGGAAGGGCAATATTTTGACCACTATTGTAATCATTCACAGCTTAGTAGAAGCAAATGAACTCCTTTCAGCCCACACAGCCTTGGGGGTCCTGACAAGTCGCATAAAAAACAGTCAAAGTCTGCAGCAAAGAACAGGCCGATTTGGACCAAAACTCTATCAAGTACCAGACCGCAGTCCTCTGCAGGACTCCTGCAGTTGTGGGAGGTGGATTGCCAGATGGGGTAATTTTCTGCATGTTCAAGAGTCCTTGATAGCACCCCATCCAGCACTAGGAAGTTTTCCTTAGCATGCTTTCAATGTTGCTGAACTGTAATCTTCTCGCAATATCTAAAGGAGTCTCCCCATTCTGAAAGAAACAGATGAAATACATTGTAATATGATAAATACCAACATACCAGGTCTAATACTACTCTTGCTAAAGTCAGGGACAGAGTCCTTGTCCCCACTTAGGTAGTGATAGCCAATCCACTGTTTCCTGGGGCTGATGTCCAAAGACACTGCAGAGCTGACTTCAAGATCTATACAGGCAGAAGTTCGCTCATCTCAGCTGAGCAGTACAGGTATTCCCAGGTCAATATCTCTTGGGACAATGTTTGAGCTTCTCTGAGGACAGCAGCAGCTTGACTTAGCTCCTTTCAGAAGAATGGTGCTCAACAAAGCACCTAGGAGGGCTCTTAATACTTCCCTGCAACCTGCATCTTAGGAACAAATGTATCACAGCTATGAGTTAGGCAGAGGTATTCTACAGACAGCTAAGAGATCTGCCAATCCTCTGAACATCTAGGCAGTTTTGAATGGAAGAAATCTGACAGTGAAGAATGTGGACTTTAAAGTTGATCTTGCCAATGAAGGCAAAGGGGCAAATATTGTATTATACCCCCACAGCAAACAAGTCTGATGCCAAGAAGCTGTGCACCTTTTGTTGTCTTTTTTTTGTCTTGTTTTGTTTTTTCAACTGCTGTACACCAACCAAGGCCTACAACGTAATTATTCACCCTCTTGATAAGGAAATACAGTTATTAACTCCACTGTCTTACCTGATTCTTTATAGAGGCATCTGCATTAGCTTCAAGAAGCAGAGGAATGACTGCCTGGTTTTTCATTTCACAAGCATAGTGAAGGGCTGTGCTACCAGACTGAAGGGAAACAGTAGCAGAAGAATTTTAGTTTTATCACTTCTTTAGTAGATCTTTGTTAATTCTATCAATTTTACTCTATGCCTTATAATTTTTCCCCTAATAACTAGATGCATAAAAAACATATCTCATTTCCCAATGCACAACACAGTAAAATACATTCTCATAAGAGCAACAGGAAAATAAAAAATCGTTCCTCTCCTCAGATGTAGTTGCTAAAACAAATCTGATTATCAGGAAGCCAATAGTTCTTTACTTATTTCAAAGGATTCCATAATCTTTTGCTCAACAACTATGTCTTAAGTTTGAGCAAACAGTATTGCTTAAGTGTTTTATAATTTGATTGCTGGTGAAATTGTGGTTTCTCCTTTTCTACCTTAGAGGAGAGGAGCTCTTTGCCACACCCAAGGAGACTAGTCAACACAGACATTACACGTGGTAGATCAATGCACTCTGAAAACCAAGAAAAGACACACGGTCTAGCACTGGGACATGACCTTTGCCCATGTATCTACTCCAGTCCAAGAACTAATAAATGGTGATAAACCCAGATCCTTATATTACTAGAATCTTTATAGGATCAGGTATTTAATACATCAGTATTTTGACCCAGCTGGCCTGGATTCTCTTCTAAGAGACTTTGGTCAGAAAGGGACTGACAAAGTTAAAACAAACAAACAAACAAACAAAAAACAGAAAATCTTTCCCTCCAGGGGTACATATCACAGCAGAGAAGAAGCTGATAGTCAATTATAATAGTCTAAAGTAAAAAGTAAAAGTGCACATCTAACAACATCACATTGGTTTTTAGATGCTGTGTTTGTAACAATTGTTGTTCTGGCTCTAAAGCTAAGAAAATAATAAGCTTGATCAGAAAGCTGCACTGAGCTGTCAGCGGAGAATTAGCTGTGTACATTACAAAACTCCTGCCAAAGTGTCAATGTGAAACACTGAATCTTCCTTTTACATCAAAATCAGTTCAGTCCCTGGTCCTACTCTGGAAGCAGTATTTTATAGCCAGAAGACTCTGAAGTTTGCTTTTAGTAACATTTTATGCATAAGAGCCAAATTTACATTTGTATAATCCCACTTACAAAGTCTGTAGCATTAACATCAGCTCCAGCCCTAAGCAACATCTTGATCAGGTTTTCATTCTGCTTAGTTTTTGAGATCTGTTTGGTGCAAGGAAAAGAATAACACAGTGAGACAGTTCATCTGCATACATGATTAAGTAGATGTTGGCAGATACTGTTTTTCCTTAAAAAATAATAACAATAATAAAAATGTCTGGCTTCTGCAAATGCCAAACTGATGCAGTGATACAATTCTGCCCCTTCAACAGTTACACTCAGCAAAAACACTGCTTCTTCCATTGTTCTCCATCAGTTCTTGTTTCAAAGAGAGCATTCTGTAAGCATTCCTGGCCTAAAATATCACCATAAGAAAGGTTATAAGGGGAAATGTGAAGATATCGGGGCTTTTCTGCTTTCCTCCAGACTCACCATGAGAAGATATCCAATAAGCAAAACTGGCATGAGTATTATGATGAGCACATAGTCAAGGAAGGTAAATCGTTTTCTCACAGCATAATGCAGACAAGTGCGGTCCTTCTAAATACAAAATAACTCTGATTAGTATCAGATTCACTGATCTGATTATATTTGTTTAATACTGACAATACTCAATCCTTTTATATTTCACAATCTTTTTTTTTTTTTTTCCCCCAGGTTATCTACTATAAATAGTTCTCTGATTTTCAAGCAGAAACTGACACATGCATTTTGCTTCCTTCAAGTGGTAGCACATTTAACTCGTAAAGACCCATGAAAACTGGACTCCACATGAAAGAAGGATGTGGGATCCAAAGGATTCCAAAAGTACATCTGCAAACTTGGCTGCAGAGGGAAAGACAGAAGAGTGTAAAACTGTAGCCCTACCTCGCAGGTTAAATCATCAGGAAGAGTCCCCACAGCTCATTTTTACAGAGGTTCGGTTACTGAAGCAAAGACTTATAAGAGCTCGATGTCACATAGAGATACACACAGAGGAAATAGCAAGATCCCTAGCAGACTCTCAGAACAGTTTCAAAATCTTTGAGTATTGCATGTACCAGAGCTAGTAAAGGGCAGAGCTCTTGACTTGGGTGTTAAAGAACACTCATGTTAAACACTCTACAGTTCCTCAAACTGGAGTCTTACAAACTAGGTTATGGTGTTACATCATCGCCCAAAATGGACATGCTGTAAGAAATATGGACAGGCTGTCCTTCAGACCTTCCTTTTTACTAGGGTGAATAAAAAAAAAAAAACAAACAAACAAACAAAAAAAAAACCAGAGGAACAGAAAGAACAGAAATAAGCTGGAGTGCAGGACAAATGTGAATTGCTGCAGGCAGAATATACTGGGTATGCCATGCAGTATTACCTAAACTGGGATCATGAACATAGAAAGAATATTAGGTTGGCAATGTTTATTGTATCCTGTGTGCATTGGCAAGTCAGGAGATAAAAAGAAACATAAAGGTTTATTGAATTACAATTTGGGGGTTAGACATGCCTCAGCTGGAAAAAAAAGTAAGGTTTGGAAGTACTGGCAATGTTCCCACACATGTACTCCAAGAGTCTTAAAGAGCAGTCAGTGCAAAGGGTGAGTCTGTGGCCACTTACCTTGTTTCTGAGGTTGACATCAGCATTTCTTTTTAGAAGATAACTAACTATTCTGTTGTTTCCCTGTTTGCATGCACAAATTAAAGGGGTATCTCCACCAAAGCTGTCCTGGATATTCACGTAATTGCTGTTTTTATCCAAAAGGAGCTGAACTTCATTGAAATCATTATTATACGCTGCCTGGCAAATGGGCTGAAAAGAGAAGGTAATATTCATCAACTGACATGATTCACTAAGACATTTGTACTGCCCATCCTGGCTTTTACTTGCACATGCCACGAAACTGCCCAGCATTTCTGACAGAGGTTGTAATTCTAGGTGACTTCCAGAAGATGGTGGTAAGAGATGACACACAGCGAACGAAGCTGAGAATAACAGGAATGCTATGAGTTTCTAGTATCCTAACACAGCCCAACAGTGGGATGTCTGGCAGACTGGTAACATTTGAAGTTCTCCATTCAAAAGGAAGAGTTTTCTTTCTTTTCTTTCTTCTTCTGTGCTGGGGTTCTTCATCATTTTCCAAGATAGGACATTTCTAAATATCACCAGCAGTGTTTCCTTCTCATCTTCCCTTTATCACAGTCTAAATATGCTACAAGACCTAGCCCTGAACACTGAGCCACTTCCCCACCCCCTCCAGTTGTTAGCTTAATTTTTCTCACATTGAAAAACATTCACCTTATTTATATTTTCAAACAGGTCTTTTCTTTAAATATTACCTACCGTTTTTCTTTCTTATCCTTTATCATTGTATTCATGGATTTATTATTTATAATTCGTTATTTATTTATTAATTTATTATTTTAATAATATTTTGGTTCAATAATATATTTAATAATACATTTATTTATTAATTTATTATTTATTTATTATTTCTTATCCTTTATCACAGTCTAAACAAACAAAGAGCACTGAAGCAACTACAGAGTTCTGACAACGTAATGTACAGACAGTAGATTCCATGTTAAGCCCTAGAAAACACATTTCATGTCTACAGAAAAGCAAGGAGACTGTAAGTCAGGAAGCCCTCACCCAGCTTTCCACAGTGTTAGAAGCCTGTCTCAGTAGTGGTGCAGCTAAACAACCAGCTTCTGATGTTATGGTTACTCTATTACTGTTAGCTGTCCATCATGCATAAGAGGGAAAAAAACTCACAAGATGCATACTCAGAGCAGCTGTGAGGCAGTATCAGAAGAATCCAAGATTCACAACTTGGACTGAGACTGACTCAGCTGTGGAGAAGTGCAGGACTATGACAGCAGAAGTCTCAAATAGCTGTTGCCCTTGCCCGGAAGGGTATAACAGCCAGGAGAACCACCACAGTTTCCTTGTTATAGATGCACTGCCAACTGGAGGACAGATATAAGTCTATGGCCTCTCTTTAGGCACATGAGATACTAAGGCCAGTGCTCCCAGAGAGAGAGAAGAAAAAAAAAAGAAAAACAAACAAACAAACAAACAAACAACAACAACAACAACAAAAACTGAGGAAAATATCAGTGGGAACTGAGCTCACAGTTTCTGGAGAGGTTTGCAGTCCATGGCTCTCCCCTACACCACATTACTTGTCAGCTCCCAGTGACCTGAGCACCCCAGAGAGCTCAGCAGAGGCCTAGCCCTGCTCCTTGGTGTAGCAGAGGAGACATGGCTTTCCACGCAGTACAAACAAGAGCTCCAGGTCTGAAAGGCAGGGAGCAGGACCAACAATTTGAGCTCAGGTAAAGACGAAGTGAGTACCTCTTTGAATGGTCTCACAGCAAAGCCCCTCACCTCTGCTCACACCCTCCTGCAGCACCACCTACACTGACACAAGCTGCACACCACAACCTAGCAGCTGCACAAAACATACGATAAAAGGGGCAGAGAACACAGAATCCCAACACCAAACTCATCCCACCCTCACCAGGGGTGCCCTTTCCCTGCTGCAGGATCAGGGCTAAACAAGAACTGCCTCAGACCCTCCATGGACAGAGCACACGGCTCTGCCCGACTGAAGAGAACAAAGAGCAGGCACTGGGGACCGTGCTGTGTGGGAGGTGAAAGAAGGGGGACCTGGCAGCTCTTCAAAACCTGGCTGTGTGGATACAAGGCTGACAGCAAGCTCACTCAGCTTGGGAGCAGCCACCAAGGGGCACTCAAGGACACTGGCATCTCCAGAGAGCCTTCATTGCTCTGCAGGAAGAACCAGCCACAGACACAATGCTGTGCAAGAGCCTATCTGTATGGTTATTATGAAATCTGGGGTTGAGGATTACACATGGTAATGACTGATGGTCACCGAAGTCAGGTGTTCAAAGAAAAGCTGAATATGGACTTTTAAGCAAAAGCTCTATAGCTAGATCAGAATCTCTCGTTATACAAACACATTTTACGAGCCCTTTAGAAGAGGATTACATTGTTCAGTATCTGAGGCTACAGGAAAGGTGAGAAGTAGTCATAGGACAGACAAGGATTTTAATGTTTAAAATCACTCAGTACAAGATCACCAGATAAGGGGTGAAAGTAAAAAACATTAGATGTCAGATAGAAGGACAATGCCTCTACGGAATTGTTTATTTATAGAATCAATTATGGGTCATATGTCTGAAATCAGGACCTGGTAGTTTGCTCAGATTCAGATGAATTGCCACATGTGAATTTCCTGGTTTGTTTTTGGAGCTTCTTGTATTTTCCTCTGCTTAGATTTGCTGAGGTAGTGGTAAGCTACCAGATATTCAGCAAATTCTACCAAACATGACATAAAAGTGTGAGGCAAAGCACTAAGGACAAAGCATTCAGCCACTAGAGAAGAAGCTAAAGGTAAAGCTGGTCTTGCAACTGGGACAATAATTTCAGGTGATAATTGCCTTCAAGAACTTCAAGGGATTGCCAAAGTTACATCAGACGCCAGCTGTTTAGACAAAAATGGAGTCACTTCATAATATCCAAATATTCTGAATCAATCCATAGTCTTTCTGTGTGCTAAAATTCATGCAGAAGCATGCTACGAACTTAACAGGAAAGTCTAAATCATATTCGGGATGCTGAGGAATGTACTATCATCCCTTCCATACTTCTCAGCAAATAAAACTTGGACTTTCTTATTTGCACTTGTGTAGATTTTTATCAGGTGTAAATGATTTGCTTTTACCAAGCAAATTTCCTCTCACTCAAAAAAAAAATTAAAGGAAGGATACCAAACCATATGAAATTATTAATTAATAAGCATGGAAGATAGAGACAGCATTTGAACATTCTCTAAACACCACTTTAATTCAGCTAGATGACTGGTTTATTGTACAGTACTATCTCAGAGTAGTAGAACTGGAAAGAGGAAACAAATACTTTCAGAATAAGACTCAATCTACTCAGCCTATCAGCATATGAATGCACAGATTCAAGCTTTCTATAATACTGAAAGAGGAGAAGATGTTTAATTTCACTGAATAGCCTTTTAAAAATAAAAGGGTGGCTTTCGGCATCAAAATGTAACCTTTTAAAGGAGCAGCTATCTGATGTTATCTCCAGAAAGATAAACAGCAGTACAACTCACTGTATTCACAACCAAAAAGAACTGAAACTTTTGTTTCTTTCCAAGTCTACAAATGGAAAGGTTATAAAACAACTAGTAAGTCTAGGCAGCACCTACGCTGAAATCCAGAGTTGTGCTAAATGGACAATAGTCTGAGGATAAACCCATAAAGAGATAATTTTATTATTTTTTTTAAACCACATTCCTAAAGCAGTCCTGGGGCCGGGGGGTTTCCTTAGATACTACCTTTATTATTTGTATTCAACATAAGACGAAGAGTCTGCTTGCAGTCCTTAATTACACAGTGCTCAGAATCTCTCTGATATTAATGCAGAACAGCAAAAAAATGTTGAACAAACACATACTTTCTTTGTGAAGTCACAACAGTTACACTGGTTATTGCACTTTCTTTGCTCCTACAAACAGTACTTTTACAATTTGTAATAGCCAAAGCACAGCATTTCCAAAGGAAAAGAACTTCCATGGTTTTAAGCCTGTGTATGTGAGGACGTGAAAGGAAAAAAAAACAAAAACAAAACAAAAAAAAAACAAACCACAGGACTACTGTATATCCACAGCTCCAATAGCTTCAGTTACTGTGCAGAAAATGGTCACGTACCTCTGAATAGAGTATTCCCATGCCTATTCTTCACTGCTTGAGTTCTTTCTTGTTCACCAGCCCAACAAGTTAACCTCACTTGAAATGCTCTTGAGCTCGTTTAATTCTGGTTAATATTTAACTTAAAACGTAGCTATCTCACTTTCTTAAGCTACATTTCCTTTAAGTGCTTTCTACGTGGTAGCATGAAACAATTGTCTTCAGAAACCCAACCCAGTGAGGTAAACGTGAGAACAGTAGTTTACGGGAGACTGACAGAACAAGTTACAACAGAGAGAAGCATTTTCCTTTGTTATTTTTGCAATAACAGCCTCTGGTTGCCTAAAAAGGAAGGCAGCAGAACAGACTAGGGGGGTTGGGGAAAGAAAAAGAGAAGAAAATTTCACTAGTGAAAAAAGGGAAAAAAAAAAAAAAAAGTAAGAAAACTAAACTTGGAAACAAGTAACTTAGAACAGTAGCTAGTTTGCCAGTCAGTCGACTTCCCACTTACATACAACTCAAACTCTCTGCAAGAACACGTCAGATGTCTACCAGGAAAGATCCCACACCTTTGATGAGAGTTCCAGGTGTAATTAGCTTCAGTCTCTTATTAAACGCACCAGCCCATTTCATCACCATCTGCTCACTCATTTCTTCCTAGCCCAGCCCAAACAATGAACATGACTCATGTTTAGGCTGCTCATTTTACACATTAAATGCTGTAGAGCTTACTTGGGAAGAGATTTATTCTCAATGCCTCCATTCTGCTTGAGTGTTCATGGTTCTAAGAACAAGATGATGAACATTTCTGTATTATGCTTAGCCTTTCTGAGCAGGATATGTGTATTTTCAGTGTTTAAGACACTCCAAAATCCCTTTTCCCTTTATACTTGGAACCCACTACATGTCCTCTATTTCAAAGTTTTAAAACAAATGCGTGCGACTGCCCATCTTAAATCCAATCCATCTGTGTTACATCTGAGAACTTTTATTACCATACAATTTTCAAACTTATTCTCCAGTGAGGTGGGTAGACATTTAAAACTACTTATCCTTCTCTGGTTAAAGTTGGATAGCTCCACCGACTAGTGGCAGTTTGCTGGCACCAGTTCTAACCATTTCACTGGCTCCTTACTGGAAGAAAATTAGGTTGGATTGGAACAGAAACACACGGTACACCTAACTGCAACAAACCTCACTGGTATCCTCCCAATGAATTGATCAGAGTAGTAACACCTCAGAAGTAAAATGTATTCACAGAATCACAGAATCACAGAACTGTAGGGGTTGGAAGGGACCTCAAAAGATCATCAGGTCCAAACCCCCTGCCAAAGCATGTTCCTCAGAGCAGGCTGCCCAGGTAGGCGTCCAGACAGGCCTTGAATATCTCTAGAGAAGACTCTACAACCTCCCTGAGCAGCCGGTTCCAATGCTCCATCACCCTCACCCTGAAGAAGTTCTTTCTCATGTCAGTGCAGAACTTCCTGTGCTCTAACTTGCAGCCATTGCCCCTTGTCCTATCCCCACAAACCACTGAGAAGAGGTTGGCTACATCCTTCTGTCCCCCACCCCTCAGGTATTTATATATACTGAGGAGATCCCCTCTCAGTCTTCTCTTCCCCAGGCTGAACAGACCCAGGTCTCTCAGCCTTTCTTCATAGGGAAGATGCTCCAGGCCCCATATCGTCTTTGTGGCCCTCATTCCTTGTCAGTATTTTGTCATGTCCAGATCCTAAGGAATGGGCATTCTCCAACATCAGCTGGCAAGATTGCTGGAATTTATAAATGCTTATAAAGGTTTCCCTACTTGGAACAACCTTAGTAAATTACTTAATTCTCTCTTAACACCAATATACAAATGTATGGTATTAAGGTGGTTTTGGCTGGGACAGAATTAATTTTCTTTATAGTAGTTTCATGGTGCTGAAATTTGGATTTATGATGAAAATGGGGTTGACAATACACCAATGTTTGAGCTATTGCTTGGCAGTGCTTACACAGCCTCGAAGCCTTTTCTGTTTGTCACGCTGCCCTACCAGCAAGCAGTCTGGGGGTGTACAAGAAGCTGGGAGGGGGTACAGCCAGGCAACTGGCCCCAAATGACCAAAGGGATATTCTATGCCATAAAACATCACATCAAGCAATTACAGCTAGGAAAAATAAGGAGGAGTGTTGGGGGACTTTTGGAGTTACAGCTTTTGGCTTCCCAAGTAAACACTACATGTGATGGAGCCCTGCTTTCCTGGAAATGGTTAAACATCTGCCTGCCAGTGGGAAGCAGTGAATAAACTCCTTTTTTTTTTTTTTTTTTTTTTTTTGAGCTTCCCAACTCTTACTCTTCTGATTCTCTCCACAGTTCCCCTTTGCTGTCTACCAGAGATAACCCACAACAAAAGGAAAATAATTTTTTAAAGAAAAAAATAAAAAACCTGTCTTCAAATAGCACAGAGATAGATAGCTTCAGGCATCACCTTTCCCCAGACAGTGTAAATTACCATTTAATCCAGTGTCACATCTCTGGCCCTCTTATAAATTATTGAAGTGACTGTTGCGGTCAGAGTTTTAGCTGGAAAAGAGATAAGCAGCCCAACTGCGATGAGATCTGAACTCCCAACTGAGATGAGATATGAGTTATGGAAATTCGTGTAGTCACAGGTTCAATTCTGCTAGATGTATATCCTTACTGTTCTTTAACATGATTATAAATGAAGATTCAAATCCTGACTGTTTTAATCTTTTTGTTGTTGTTGTTGAATAAGTTGTTTTTTTCTGCAAAAGATGCCAAGACTGAGTGGATGGGTGAACTGGGAGCTATTTAGTCTGTGTACTTCCTGAAAGAATTTACAGTACTTGAAAAGTTTTCTGTGAGCCAGAATCGAACTAGGAATTTATCAGAAGGGCCTTCACCTGAGAAACGGTAAGGGAAACTTAGTGGGAACTACTGAATCTTGTGATGCTTGCACATGTGTGTCTACAGCTGAGATGTGATGGGTTTCTTTGGGGTGACTCAAGGTGACTGGTGACTTCCTAGCCTTACATCCCAATGCTCATACGGTTGCTACTGGGGTACCGCTGTTACAGTCCATCCTGTGCCTAAGACAGTTGCTCCAACAACTCAGCTACCCTCAGGAATGTTCCCAGTGCACAATTGATCTGTTCTATCTCCTTCCCAGTTTCCAAATGCATGCCTTGAACTCCCAAAGACTGTTGGAAATTACCATAAGCAAATGGGGAGAAAGCAAACAGAGAAAGTAGAAAAGCAAAATTGTTATCTGGACATACAGTAAATGCAGAAAAGCTTTAGGCTGCATCATAAGCTCTTTCTGCTCCCTTCTTGTACCAAACACCTGTCTCTGCACTTATTTCGCATTTCTTTTGGTCATATTAAGAAAAATGGCTATCGTCTCTCACATGTTCTCACATCCCCTTACTTGAGGAAAAGGATGACTTTTGGTTTGGAATTTATTCACTGCACACTTGGTTTTAAACATGTGCTGGACCTATAAGTGGTGAGACTGATATGTAGGCTGGGATAATTAGTTCCAGAAAATCCATTTCTTCAGACTTTGTCTAGTTTTAAGAAAGTTCTGTCCCAGGGCTGAAACTGTTGATTGACTATACCTGCAGAGTACAGTCCATTTGAAAATCTCCCCAACAACAGCAGGTGCTACAAAACAGGACACAGACATGTGCACACTTCACAATTGCATTCTGAGGACAGAATACAGGAGCCAGAGCTACTGAATTTCCATCTTTCCCTTTTGCATCACTCTTAGGACTCATCACTCATAAAGGCTGATCCTGGCCTGCCTGAGCTACTGACCTCCATAACCAGTTCTTTGGCAGTATTGCACAACGTGAAACACAACGGCCCCTAAAAATGAGTGGAGCTTTACATCTGCACAAACCTGCAGATGCAAAAATATTTGCAGCATCAGTGTTATCCCATATGGTATCTCTTCATCTAAATTATCCAAGTAGGATATTGACTGGGCGATGCCTCAGCAGAGCGATGCATATGATAAACAACTAGTTTCTTTCCCATACATGCCTACTCAAACAACAGGTAATCATCTGGCAAATGTAGGAAGAAAATTTATGAGAGCCATGAGAGTACTTGGGAAGAGGAATAGAGTTCAAAGATTAAGGGAAGAACACATACAAACCATTTCCTTAAATGAACTCTACCTTTGTATTTTATAGCGTTTGCTTGATCTTTCTAGGGAATCTGCTTTGGCAGGGGGTTTGGACCGGTGATTTCTCAAGGTCCCTTCCAACCTCTACAATTCTGTGATTCTCAGAATGAATGCCTGAGAAAACTAAGAATCATCCCTAACAGCCACCATGCTTTTGCCAGACTTTGTAGAAATATATTCTTCAGTCTGGTGGCTTAACATGAAAAACATCAACATGGTATGTACAGCTCTTACCAGCTCTATCAAGAACTTAAGCTGCTGCTCCCCAAACCTAACTTCAATCCTATAGTATGAATCCTCAAATTCTGTTAATCCACATCACACTGCAGGGAACAGCCCCCAGTACCAGCCAGCAATATCTGCTTGTTGCCCCATTACTGGCAGGGCATCACTGCCTTGCTCCTCAGAAGAGCTCTTGGCATCATCTCTTCAATGCAGAGCTGCACCACCACAACCCTGCAGGCTGCCCTCTGCCTAGACCTCACCTAGGGCTCTGTCTCCTGGTTCGTACTCTGACTGCTGGTCTCATCAGAGATCCTCTATATGATGGCACACCATGGAAAAGGAAATGAAAGTCCTGTTTGCTTCATGTTTCTAGCAGCTCTTTGCAAGGAAGAAAGGAACACAGGCATTCCCCTTGTCCTCCCTCCCCAAGCCTGCAGACCATCATAGATGTGCTTAGAGGCACAGGATAACTAGACATTTGACAGACATTGGGGGTTAAGACTTTTATGTACTTCATGCTATGTTCAGCTGTAGGCCAGACTACCTGAACCTCAAAGTGTTGCTCCAGTGTTTTCAAAACTGAATAAAAACTATCTCAGTTAAGTGGTTTCTCTGGGTAAAGACAACATCACATGTCCTAGGAGATTTCTGTATATCTTTTAGGCTTTGTGTTTCCTATGCTTTTTTAATATGCATTGCTTTCATTGTCCCTTTCCTATGTCTCGTCTTTTTCCAAACTAAAAATAAGGGACAGTACGCAGGTTCACCTATCTTTTGCACTTCGTCTGATCCCTAGTATCTATCAATATCAGAAATTACATAAACTTTGTACACCCCATATGTTGGTATGTGGTGGAACTAGGTAAAATGTAGATTATTGCAGCCTGAACTAAAAAAGTAGCATGGTGTTAGCTCAGACTTTAGCAGAGCACTCATCTCTGTCTCTCATTGAGCAGAGATGTCAGAGTTACCAATCTGTAAGATCTTTCATCGAGCAATCACTTTTTTGGCCATTCCACAGACTGCTCACTACTTCATAAAGTAGAATTGTTTCTACAGTTTCTCTAGGTTCTGTTTACTAACAAAGATTTGCTTCACTCTGTTTCCCCACATGAGGCAGAAGATTATTAGCACCCACATTCCAGAGAACCTGCTGCACAGGCATCACTTTCCTGTGGTGTTCGTCTAAAAGCTCATCTGTCCATAATAAACCACAAGTCCTTCTGAAGATACTTAATAGTTAATTTGCTGAAGAGACTGGTGCTCATGCAGGAGGATTCCATTTTGTTTGTAGCATACCTGCCTAAGGACACAGAACATGTCCTTCTGGCCATGGTCACAAAGCCAATTTCAGTGAGGACTGAGCCCCTGCGCTGACTATAATTAATTCAGTGGTCAGCAATGTTTACACGGAGTTCATGCAAATTGTTTGGAAGAAACAAGAAATGTTGTTAGCATCCTGCCTGAGAAGAAGTTTATATGATGTTTTGAAACTTAATTCAAAACTTGAGAGTCCCTACTGGAACAGAATCATTCAGAGCAAACTGGTCTTTCTGTGTTGTGGTATTCACCAACCAACAGATTTAGGGATATATGTGTAATGCCAAGTATATTCCTTTTAAATTACCTCTATTTTCATTCTAAGATTACCTAACAAAAAAGAATTGTCCCCAGGAAACTTGCAAGTGCAGTTCAGAAAACAAGTGGCAGGTGTGGAACCAAGGACCGTGCCAGCTTCTGTGCAAACCACAGTAGCAGAGACCACATTCGTATGTAGAAAGTATTTGAAAACAGCTGGACTCATCCCCATCTTCATCCCAGAATAACATGATCACTGCCCGAGATGAGCAGTAGTACAAAGCAAGACCTGTAACAGCCTCAGGGAACATGAACCCCCAGGTCCCTGCTAAATAGCCTAACCACAGATTAGGTGCCTCTTAACCTTTCCTGCTCCATGGTGCAATTTGGTCTTTCAGTATGTCACGCAAAGGTGCTATTTATCATAACATATCTCCACTCCTTAAGTACTGCCAAATCAGCACTTAAACGTCCTCGCCTATACATGCAGACAACACACAACACTCTATTGCTGCTCTTCAGTGAATTTTGATTTCCTTTTTTTTGGCATAAGATTCTGCCAGTGAATCAGTCCACTAGCAGAGACAGACAAGGGACTGCAGCAGAAGACAGTGAAAGGCAGTGAAAGAGAAGACAGAAGACGGTGAGGCAGTGAAAGCAGAGGTAAGTTGCTTGTATGTATGTGTTCATGGTCTCTGTCTCCATTGCCTGTCTCCATAAGATGTGCAGTCTTGATTTCATGCAGTTGCTTGTATGAGCAAACAGCCTGCATCCTCTCTGATCTGTAAGCCTGTTGCTATGCGTCTAAGTGCATGTTTTCCAAACTTGAGTAGAGGAAGAAGTATTTGATCAGCTAAAGCAAAAAAGGAATAACTAACAGTTTCATCTTGCTCTGCTAATGTTTATTTTTTTCCTGAGACCATCATTGTGGTTGAGTGAAAATGTCAGTATTGAAAGAGTGTGCATAAATTGGCCATTTTGCACTCAGTTCAAATGCATTTAAGCTTTCCTCATAAGTTAACCATGAGACTCAGATATCTTCTAATTGTCCTGGTGGCTTTCAGTCCCACTTATAGTTGAATGTGAAAAAAATATTATGACTCTCTCAAGAGTATGTTGATGAATTTCTAGAAGGTTTAAAGCTTATTTTCATTAAATATCAAAAGTTTCCAGAAGTTTGGAATGGCCTTTTTGATGTACCTTTCAAGTGGTCTCTTTCATTACTTTTTTTTGTTGTTGTTTTGTTTTGTTTTGTTTTTTATTAAATATTTGTTAATTTCAATTTGCCATTTAAATGTTTCCCTTTACCATTGTTTCATAAGATAAAAAGAGTAGATTGTTGATCAAGGTTCCTACAGTCAAGACTTTACCTCTGAAATTAATGAGACAGCGTGTGCCAAGCTTTGTAGTTAATTGGTGTTCTCTATCTGATTTAGAAAGCATTCATCTGGAAGTGCCTTAAAGCACTAAGATGGGTGACAATATAGTACATGGAAAGAAGTATACCTGAAAAGGGGCAACAATTTTGCTACCCTCTTGCCTCATCTGTTAGTAGAAAAAAAACTATGACTTAAGTTAAACTTCTGAGTTTGCTTCCCAAACTACGTTCCACATGCAGACAGACACAAAGGAGCATAATTTACTTCTAATAGAACAGAATAAAACAGTAGAAAGCAGTGAAGAGTGTCTGCTATAAAACTGTGCTACCAGTGCACACAGCTGGGAGAATCTCTCTCTGTTCTATTGACAGAAGAATGGAAGCATTTGCCTATAAATTGAGTATACTAAACTTGGATGCTAATATTAAAATTGAGGGTATTTCCCAGCTTTTATTTAACTTGATAGTTCTAGTGATTGAAGGGGACAAAATATTTAATAAATAATTAAAAGAACTGAGAATGCCCTCCCTCATTAAAAAGTTCAGACAGAATGAATCTCTTGGTTATCCCTTCCAGGCTCTCCCAACTCTTAAAAAGTTTTCCCTGCGATATGCCAGATAGTACACTGTTTTTACAACCTGTCTGGTGTCTCTATGCTGATCATGAAGGTGGCTACAGCCAAAAAGAACATGTAACAGCTGACTTCTGCCAAGCAGGGCACTAATGAGATAGATGCCACTCTGCAATTTCTATTCAGCAACACTGCCCAGTGATCATAAGTCAACCCCCTCCAAAACACAAGAAAAGGGAGTCTTACCTCTAGGTGGCCAAGACACATATTTACAATAGGAAGACCATATGTGAGAAAGAAAGGAAGAAACTTAAGGCACAAGCTAGCACTAATGTCCTACAAGAACATTCCCTCAGGCCTGTTCCACATCCTCCTGGAGCCCCTGACTCACTCGTGACCCTTGTTACCTGACATTAACTGTAGACAGTCCCTCCTCACACAGGTATGTGTTTCTGTCAGCCCCTTGGGGAGCACCTGGGGCAAGCTCTAAGAGACTCCCCACCTGGGTCTTCCTGTGGAATTCCCCAGCTCTCCCTTCCTACAGCAAACACACGTGCCTCTGCTCTTTCACACAGCCCGGAGATGTGGTGCCTCCTCGTGCTGCTCTGCTCCCAGGGAGCTGCCTTTTCAGCAGGGTTCGCAGCACCCTTCACTCTCGGCTCAGAGGGAAGACAGCACATGAAGCACCGCCATGCTGAAGACTTTATGAATGTTGTAAGTTGTGGCACTTTCTCCGCCTTTCTTTTAAAGTTTCTCTCACAATACCAGCAGCAGGACTCAGCTTTAGACTGTGGCAGAGCGCACACAGCACAGCACAGCCAGCACAACAGGCTTTTTCTGCCTGCATTTAGAATGAGCCCCAACAGATGCATGAACATGTGGCTTATAACTGTGACACCTGCTTGCACAGTCACCTTCCTCAACACGCCCAGATGTTTCAGACTAGTGCACAAAGAAGGGGAGGGTAGGATCCTGGCAAGAGGACAAAGATCCTTCCAACATTTTGATAGGGAGCACCCACGTACAAGAAACGTCGACATCTTATCCAAACAGTCAGAGCTGCCAAAGAGTGACTCCTTTACAGCGGAAGCAAAGGTTGGCTTCTATTCTCAAGAGAAGCAAAGTCCTCCCCTTTAACAACCCGGTTCCTCAGTATGGTGGCAAGGGAAGTTGAATCCTTTCTTAAAGCAGTAGATTCTCACAACACAGGGTAATCCAGGACCCCTTGTTCTGACTCACCAAAGCTTTCCTCACAGAATTGGCAGGAGTGTAAGAACAGGTGGTACTGTGAGTTTGTAACAGGAGCTCCACCCTACACAGCTTACCTAACCGCACTTTGGCAGGAAAGGACTCATTTGGACCAAAGACTGCATCTTCTGGCACAGTCTAATACTGATACTGCAGCATGTTTACCCTCTAGAAAGATACCACCTGTATCAGCCTTGCAAAACAGGACAAACTATCTCACTTGCATTTGCTGTGTGAGCTGAAGCAGTCAGCTCACACAGTGAGCTTGGGAGGCAGAACTTGAACACAGTGAAACCTGACTTTTCACGTTCCTCTCCCCAGCCACCAGACTTCAGAGCAAGCAATGGACCTGTCTGCTTTATTTTCAGACATGCAGGTCTAGTGAGGATGTAGGCTTTCTGTCTTTGTAACACACAAAACGCCAAGCACAGTCAATGCTACCTGCCTGCCTCCCCCTGTGCATCTGCTTCATGCAGTGCTGAGGGACAGGACCCTGCTGAAACACAGTTTCTGCTCTGGCTGGGTGTGACCCAAGAGCTGACTGAATGCAATGCTGCACTCAGGCAAGCAGCTTAGTTACCCAGTACAGGTCTGCTCTGTCTCACACGTCATCAAAAACCTGACCACTACCACCTATGCAGCTCTGAAGCAGGCTTTTGATGCATCTTTTTACAAGACCTGTAATATTTGTTCTCAGCCCTAAGCCTCGTTACATATTATGGTCCCTGCAGCCACAGCCCTTGCACTACTGCCCGGGAACAGCCCAACATCCACACCATTCAGCTTTTTTACACTCCAAAACGGGATGCTTCATACAAGCTGTTTAACTAGATCAACCTGCAGCTCCAAAAGCACAATGATGCATTCAGGAGAGGTGGTGGGAAGAACTGGTATGGACAAGGAAATCTACTCCTCGAGCAGTCCTAATACACGACAGCACATTCAAACAAGCTCCAGAGTTGAGGAACATTCTCATTTCCTGCACAGGCGATCTTTGTCATCTCACCATTCTTATGAGCCTGAGTAGTGCTCAGGTACCACTGCCACAGCAATTACTACCCAGCCAAAACCTAAACAATAGTAGTGTATGTCTGGAATGCTCCAAGTATAATTAGATGCTTCTACCCAGGCAAACTTTGAGAGATACAGCATTAAACAGCGTACACAAACCACATCAATCAAAGACAGGTCAGCTTCTCTCACTGTTGTTGGCATCCTCCAGCCTCCCCTTCATGGCTGCCTCACCATATATATCTGTTCATCCCCAAGAGAAACACGGCCAGAAAGCTGTGCGGTCCTGCAGGAATCTCTGTAGGGCCTCTTCCTACTAGTGTAACACAGGAAAATAGAGAATAGTCCAGCAGCATGGAATCGTGTTCATCTTCCCGGCGTGTTCTTGGCTAGCTGCACATCCTTGGACAGAAGCAGCCTCTGGACACTTTTTCCATCAACCTCTACACTGTAAGTGTGTGTTAACAAACTTTCCTTTGGCTTCCCACAGAGCGAAATGATCAGATATTACGGATACCCCTGTGAGGAGTATGAAGTTACCACGAAGGATGGATATATACTTGGTGTTTTCAGAATTCCCAGTGGGAGGAACATGCAAAATACAGGTGTGACATGGGTATAGGACATAAGGAAGGTCTGAGATCCGAATCCTACGTGGGTCCCCCACCTTTCAACTTTGCACATGTAATGGCATGTTCCACAGCTTTCCATCTCAGAAAAAGCACCTAGTCAGGAGCACGGTCTGAATTCTGAATCTATCAGAGGACCACAAATTTAGTGTCTGTGTTCAGACTTCAAACTTCTGTGACTTTTTTTTCCATAATTCCCCTTCTTGTCTTTCACTTTTGGTACAACTGTTGGCAATATCTTTGTTGACAATAACTCTCTGAGTTGACATTCAAATAGACATTCCCTGCCTCATGAAGGACAGTCAACCTAAAGTCAAGAAGGTGATTGATTTTTCTGTATCCATCTATTGGGTAGAAATCACGTCATTGGTTGGGAAGAAATAGTTTTTCAAATTTTCTTAGTAGAATGACAATTTGTTCCTGGAATTCAAAGGTCATAAATGCTGGACAGTGCTGCTCCATTTCCTGCTCTTCCATTGTCATCTGAATATGCTATTTTGTCTTTAATTTTTTATGTCTAGAAATCAAGGGATCTGTAGATTGGTTTCTCTGTGAAAACGGATGTTGGCACTGACCACTTGAATATGTTCTTTTTTAGCTAGTCCTGACATGAAATAAGACAGCTTGCATGGAACCAAATCCTCCACGTATCTTACCCCAAAACCCATGGCCAGCATCCATCAGTTTCTTGAAGAAGGAATGTTAAAAAAAAACTCATATAAAATCATACTCTGCAACTCAATTTTAACTACACATTACTTCTTGCTATAACATAAGAAAATACTCTTCTGTTTCAGGGAAAAAGCCAGCAGTCTTGCTACACCATGGTACTTTTGCAGATTGCACTTACTGGTTATCCAACCTGCCCAGAAACAGCCTAGGCTTCATCCTTGCAGATGTCGGCTATGATGTCTGGTTGGGAAACAGCCGAGGAAACACCTGGTCTTCAAAACACAAGACCCTTAAGCCCTGCCAGAAAGAGTTCTGGCAGTTCAGGTACTCTGTGGAGAAAGAATATCTGAAGACAGCAATTTTCAGGGGACTAACAAGTTTGGGCAATTAGTATTGGTAGACCCTTTCCCCTTCAGGCTTTCATGTAATCTGACTTCAAGTGGGACATACAACTTCCAAGGGGACCAGACCAATTCTTTGTGGATGCAGCCACACTGGGCTTGTCAGGGAGGTCAGGAGAAGGATTTGGCTGGTTGGTCTGCTCAGGCCTTTCTGGAATCAGGACACAAAGAAGCAAAGCTGGAAGTAAACAGGTCACCCACCATCTTTGTACATATGCAGGGCTGGTTTATTTTGGGGAAAACATTTCCAAAACTGGGAAGAGGCATCTTTAACCTGGTGGTCTCTTACTAGACATCATTCTTCCAAGTATGGACAGGAGAGGACAATACACAGCTGAGTCTAGAAATCTGATCTATCACACCTGACATTAACTGACAGAGAAATGAATTTTGTTACCCCTGCTAGTGAAAGGACTCAAATCCACATCCGGGACTGGCACCTCCTCAGCAGAAAGTCCAAGGCATCAGGCAGCTTGTCAGTACAGTTGTGTCCTTCTGTCCCCTTCCCCAGCTCACAGAAAAGAACCCAGATAAAGTGTGCATCCTCATCTTTGAACGGGTCCGGCTTGGTGTTATGAAGAAAACTGACATTCAGTAACTCACGCTGTGATAAAGTACATGCCCCTCTGTCAGCTTTTTGTGTTTCTCCTTTTTAGCTTCCATGAGATAGGTATATACGATCTCCCAGCTGAGCTGGACTTCATCATGAATAAAACTGGACAGAAGGATGTATATTATGTTGGTCACTCAGAGGGTTCAACTGCAGGTAATGTTAGGACGCCTGAGTATGAAATAGTTAATGTCACTACCTGACTGGAATCTCTCTCTGTCAACTACCTTCTTCTCTCATAGAAAGTTATTAAAGGGAGAAGTACTTTTAACTTGACACTTGAAAAAAGGGGGGGGGGGGGGGGAGAGGGGAGGGATTTTTTTCTATGAGCTGTCGTATCTGAAACAAGCAAGTAACAGAGGATCCAGAAACACGTTTAACTTCTGAAAGGATTACTGATACATAAAAGCTAGTATTTACCAGGTACAGTTTTCTAAGTATCCTTTTTTATTATACTCTTGCCATTTATTGTTATTTTTTCAGAGTCTTCTAGCAATGGGATATTTTTCTTAAAGTTTCAGCAACAAGGAGCTTTTATTAATCTAAATTCTTAAAATGTATACCTTATGGACTACAATAATCCTCAATGGATTAGACCCAATAATCCTCATGGATTAGATGTAAATACAAAAAGCAACAATCCATAAAACAGTTCTAAGGACAGGAGACCAAAACGAACAAACAAAAAGAACACAACAACAAATTAAATGTCTCATGACCAAACACCAGACTTACTATTTAAAACGTAGTTAATGTACAACTATAACTCAAAACATTATTGTTCTAAAACAAATTACCAGGCACTAGAAATTAGAAATTAGAAATTAGAAAAGAAATACCAATGCTCAAAACTTCATTGTTATTAGCTCCTCTGTAACATCAACACACTTATGGTCTTTGAATGTTGTTAGTGTTTATTGTTTATGCATAGGATCCATGAAGAGATACTGAGTTTTATGCTATTGTGTGTCATTGCAATTGTATAAAAATAAACCTCAAAAACTGAGGAGGAATTTGGTTGGGGGGGGGGGAGGGGGGAGAGGGGTGGAGTTGTATTTGGCCGTTTTATTAGACCATTATTTTCCTTTCCTCTCATAAGAGCATTCTAAGTTTTTGGAACAGAATAAATCACTCAGACCAAGATATCATCATCCTTGTCCACAGGTACCTCTGTTTTAGGCAACCAGCTAAGATTGTCACCAAATCCATCAGTGGAAAAATTTGGACACATTCAGAAAACAAGATAGGATGTACCCTTCTTGTTTTCCTTTCCTTCCTTTCTTCCTTCCGCCCTCATAGGGTTACTTTTCTGTGCATTCACTTTCACCTGAGTTTACACTTTGTTGCAAGTCAAAAACTCTGCTCTTAGCCTCCCAGCCTTCAGGTATTTATTGCATTACTGCATGCCATCATCAACATACAGAGACTTTTAGAGACTACAAGCTGAAAAATTCATTATGGTATTAGAGTTTGGGGAACTTTAGCAGGAATCTGAATTCAGAAAATCTGATTGATGTATCATCTCCCAAAAACCGGCCTAACAAAAAATTGTCAATTCTGAGAAAATCAATGTTTGGACATCCTCTAATGAAGATGTATCCATAGAATGAACTCTTTCCCCCAAATAAAGTTTCAAGGATCAAACACTTTCCTTAGGTCTGCAGCACAGAAGAGGACAACAGACAATGGGTTGTTATTATAGTGTCATTTTTTATTTGCCACCTACTGCTTTTTATATATTTGGTATGTGGAAGATCTCTTCACTAACTTGATTTGTGTCTCCTGTGTTTGCAGGCTTTGTAGCATTTTCTACATATCCTGAGTTGGCTCAAAGGGTTAAAGTGTTCTTTGCTTTGGGACCAGTAGCCACAATCACATATGCTACGAGTCCTTTCGTAAAGTTTGCACGTCTTCCTCAGCCACTGATCAGGGTATGTCATTCCTTCTGAAAGACCTAAATGTCTGCTTTGTCTCTACTGGATTCACTCAGGCTGAACTGAGTTTTAAGGGGGTGATGAGTTAAGAATGAATTTAGGGCATCAGAGCATTGATAGTGCTGGTAGACTTTCCACAAAGATAAATTACAAAGCTTGACACAACATCTCTTTGGAAGTTCGTTAGGGAAGCCAGCACACTTGCACAATTACTTGTTGAAATCAAATATTTTTGAAGGAAGCTCACAAATGCCATAAATAAAAGGTATCTACATAATCTACTAATCTGAGCCTTAAGCGCTAGTAGAGAACTACAAATAAAGTATTCCACAACTTAAATTCATTAGACATACCATTGCTTTATGCTCATGAAATATTTCTTTGTAAAATTATAAAGGAGATTTAAAGGGTTATATCTGTTTGACACCATCATTTGCAAATTTAATAGAATGTTCTGGGAATGGTAGAAACCCTGTATGCTGTAGTTATATGCCAAACTGCAGAAGCTCATGCTCTTTCTGCCCAAGCTGTACCCAGTATGTGACTATAGAGTGCCCACTTCTACACCCTCTCATTTGTCTTCTCCCCCTTTGCTTAGTATCAATATTCAGATTACAGTTTTGTGCACCTGCTTGGAAAAAGGACTGGGGCAAAGAGGGTCTCCCTATACTCTACAGCCATGACTGCAGTCAACTGCCCTTTCTCATTGAAGCCTGTGCACTAAAAACAGATGTATATCAACCTCCAAGACTCATATCCAATAATAAGAGGCAGGAATAATGTTCTGTGTGCTCTGGGGGAAAATGCACTTTAAAGTGGAATGGCAACCAGTTTCAACCATCTTAGTTAAGAGGCTATGCTGTTGGAGAAAGGGAGAAACAATTCCCTGCATGTTGCTCCTGCAACAAGAAAAAGAAAAAAATTGCACTTTTTTGCCCCTCAGTTACTTCTTGGCTGCAAAGGAGTTCTTCACCAGAACGAACTGACAAAAGGGCCTACAACACTGCTATGCGCAACTCTGGGAAAACTTTGTGCCAGAATCTTCTGCTTCATAGCTGGGGGCAGTATACAAAATCTGAACACGGTAAGCACGTCCAAGAACACCTTTATACAAGTAAAACTGAAGTAATTTTGAAGAAAAATGATTTTTCTGCCGTATGTCTATATATACAATTGCGGGGATATATAGAAATGTGTTGGGATTTTCAAATAATGCCAACTAGGGTCTCAGCTGATGATGAAATCAGCCACCTGACATTCAGATCACACAAGGAAGAAAGACTGAATTCAGTCTGGTTTCATCTTGCAATGATGTACCTCAGTGTTGCCTCTTCTGGGACTAAGCCAAAGAAATATTGGCCAGATACCAAAGCTCTCTAAAATGAAGAAATGGATGATGGAGAAAGATCTTTCGATTTTGCAAAATTATGATTTTTCTTCCTAAATAGGATGACAACCAGATCTTCTGAACATAGGAGACTGTTTATTTTTGGTCCCTACATGTCAAAACATTTCCAGCCAAAACTCAGTCCTAAAAGTTGTTTCTTCACACTTCTCCACTTCTCTCAATGCCAATATATCATTCCTTGACTTTGGCTGCTATCTTTTTTTTCTTTCCTTTTTTTTTTTTTTTTTCCAGACCTTCCACATATCTGTTCTCGGTGGCTTTTGCACACTCGTTTTTTAACAAGTCTTCCCATAAAAAGCTCACACACATGGAGTCTCATGTTCAAGTCAACAGCCTACTAACAATCCTCCTCTAATGACTGAGCAGAGCATTACTTAAAAGCATCATGCAGACTGTAAAAACTCAGAAAAGATAAAGCCATACATACTCCTTGAATGTAGCTTTGCATATGACTAAGCACTAATGTGGGAAAGACTCTCTTTGTCTTTCAAAACAAAGCATAAAACTCTACGTAATACATCCTACTGTAAAATCACATTGTATGGGAGTCGACCATTAATTTTGTTTAATATTTGAAAAATATCCTACAATATGATCAGGGCTTTAACACAGCAGCTGTATGTTGCTCAGGTCCTTCACAGCTTTATTCTGTTACAGCACTGAATCTCTGCTTTTGTAACACTTCTGCTTTCTCTCCAGAGTCGAACAGATGCATTCGTAGCACATTACCCAGCTGGAACATCAGTACAGAACACTATTCACTGGCATCAGGTATAACTGTGTACTGACATAAGCAGACTCGTACTACTGCTTTTTATGCAACTGACAGCCTACAGGGAAGTCCACAGGCGCTGGTTCTGGGAAATTACCCAACACATCTTCTCACACAGTGCCGTAAGCAGCTGCTACCAAGGAAGCACTGCTTCCCATCGCTCACCAGACCATTACCCACATTGTCCCTTTCATATCAGACCTTTCTGCATGTTAGGGTCTAGTGGCTTCCAGCCTTCAGTTCCATTTGTGAAGGCAATTGCCTCGAAAGCTGCAGAGGAGCACTTGAGCACAGTTGAGGCACTTGGCAGGCAGTAGGAAGATAGCGGAAATGTGAACAGCTAGGGAATGAGCCAGAACAAAGTGATCCAGGATAAAGCTTTTCTCCCAGAAGGTTAATTGCAGCCTGGATCACCTCCCAAAGCCAGTTAACCACACAAGCACTTCTGCTGGCACAACGGGAAAGTGGGGATCCGCCTTTCTTGCTGGAAACTTACGCCACTCTCAGACCTGAGCTTGAATCAGACCAGAGCAAGAGCAGGTCTCAGAAGCTCAGAAGCATGTTACAGCACGTGCTCAACACTACGGCCATTTCTGCCAACACTTGGTATGGTCTTAAGTATGTGCATGCTCCTGCATTCAGCCCTGACTAAAATTTCCACCATCCAGACACTCAGCACACAGATCCAGCAAACAGAGGCAAGGTAAGAGATATCTAGCACATCCTCAATTACTGAAAGACTTGAACTCAATTCACTTAGGAATAACTGAGGAACAATTTCATAATGACTCTCACCTTGCATTAAATAAAAACACTAAGAAATCAAACCACTAATCAGGTTTGGAATTTAAAAAACGCACTCACCTTTTCAGTAACTTTTTTTTTTTTGCAAGTCACAATAGATTCCAGACTACTATTTAGCGGTAGACTATTCACACCCCACCTTCACTAGCTAAACTCTTGTGAGAATTAGAGCCACTGGAAACGTCACTACTACTGTCAGCAGACCAGACACTGCTGACACACAAAACAACAAGTTGTGGGAGGAGATATCATAAGCTACACTAAATAGCCACTAAGAGCCCTGACAGGTACTAGACAGCCTGGCCCTCCTGCCAAGGTGAAAACTGAGCACAACTCCGCATCACAAACGGGAACACCACCTTAGTTAACTTAATCAAACAGCACTTTAAAAACAAAACATAACAAGGGGGATAGTTGAGGATCAGGAGAGAACATTAGCAAGGGCAAAAGCAATAAAGCCTCTCATCCTACAACCCATCCTCAGTACCTGTGGAAACCTGAAACTGGAGGAAGGGGTGGGAGGAAGCCACAAGCCACCATCTGAGCCTTGGGTCAATCACAGGGAAGAAAATACCTCCTGCACTCTGCTCTGTCTCCTATCACTAACACTTTCATTTTATCTTTGTTAAAATATTCACAGATAGCACATGCAGACCGATTCCAGGCTTATGACTATGGCTTGAAGGAAAACATGAAGAAATACAACCAGGTAAGGCAATATGGTTTTCCTGAGAACTCTTCCTTGGGTCCTGGCAAAACTAAGAACAAAGAACTTCAGCTTTTAGAATCCATGAGCTCCAGTGCTACAGAAAGAAGGAGAGAATGCTCTGAGATAATGTTTCACCCAAACCTAATGCTGCTATGTGTAAAAGTCTACTCGCAGATAGTTCCTTGTGGGCAGCTAATAGAAGTTCATTTTCCCTTCCCTACTGGTGCAGGGATGTATCTAGTGACATGCTGATTTACCTGCCATTCCCCAAAGGCTCAGAGTCACACCCTGGCCATAAAAAGAAAAAAAGAGAGAGAGAAGGGAATGCATCTCTCACCTTGTTTTTGGAAAGCTTCTTATGAAATAGAAGGGATGCTTCAGAACAGCACAGTGAATACTGCTGTGGGGAACTAATGTACACTCTACAGAGAAAAAGGATAAAACAGATAAAAACAGATAAAACTTGGTTACTGCCTAGTCAGCCCTCAAAAATGCTGCTCTCCTCCCGCAACACTGAGAACTTTTCTGACAATTTTTGAGATTTGATCAGATCTGTTGACTTCTGGTAATATTTGTGAGTCAGGGCAGGTTGTTTTACATGTGGCATAGGTGGACAAATATTCCAAAGTATATTTCCATCTATTTTATAGGTGGAAAAACACTCCAAAGATTTCTCAGACACTTTCCATTCATATACGGTCTTTAAATACCAAAGTTTGAATTTTGGACTGGGTGAAGTTCTATTCCCAGTACACTTAATGTTTAGGAAATGGTCAAAAAAATAAAAAAGCAGACTGAGAAATATAATAGAACTGTGTTTAAATAACAGCAGTCAATTTAAAAGCATCTTTTGCTAGGGAAATAAACATTAAGAGGGTTGGCTTACTGTTTTCCTGGAGCGAGTGCAGAAGGGAAACAGAGAGATGTCTGCACAGCATCCTTTCTCTAAACACAGCTTCTGATATAACAGCATGCACTAAGGTCTCCTCCCTTTCTTGCAGCCTACTCCTCCTGCCTACAACATAGAGAGGATAAGCACACCCATTGCTGTTTGGAGTGGCGGACAAGACAAATTTGCAGGTCCAAAAGACATTGCAAAGCTACTTTCTCAGATTACTAATCTCTCTTACTATAAGCACATTCCTGAGTGGGGACATCTTGATTTCGTCTGGGGCCTTGATGCAACTGAGAGAATGTATCGGAAAATCATTGAACTAATGATAAAATACGCTTAAAGCTTCATTCAGGGAGCTCATTCATGCAGTAAACCCCCTCAATTTTCTATTTAGCAGCAGAATATAGGCATAAGGACTGGTATTGGGGTTTGTATTTTCTTGCATTGTTTTCTGTGGCATTACAGTATTTTGGTGACTGGAGTCTCTCTGAGGAAACTGAGGTACATGGGAATGACCAGTGAATATACAAACATTAGAAGGCATGCTTCAGAGGGTGGCTTGCTTTTTTTAAACTGTTACAGGACTGAATTTGCTATAACCAGGCTTTTATTTTCTCTCCCTTGTATATCAATATTACATGTTCCACTTGAGACAGAGGTGATATCACATGAAAATATAAAAATTGGATATATTCATTTCTCTGTTGAAGTATTGCCAATCTTTGTTTAAATTAAATCATCTATTGTCTTGATAAAGTCACTGGCCTGTTTTTATTTCCTCACCTTATCAAGGCTGAGCCACAAGACCTTCTGCATAAGACTACCCTGCCATCTAAACATACAGGAGCTGGCTTCAGTGGCATAAATCCCAGGAAACCCAACCTCAGAAAATATATGCCAGAGGGAAATCACTTAACTGTTGGACAGACACAGATACTCTCTTGTCTTTCATGCCCACACACCAGTGAATAGTTTGTTCACCCCCTGACTACAAAGAGCACAAACATCTTCATATCCATCACTTGGCAGCTGAGGATTAAGGATATGCAGACATACCAGGCAGCCTGCACACCAAGGACTAGAGCACCCACCCCAAGAAACATTCCTGACACTGCCAGTGAAGTTGTTCCAAGTTCTTATAGGTTCTCGGTTCACCACATCAGTGTTTCTGCCCACTCACCTACAAGATAATCCAAAAGGTGAAATATCAAATCTAAGGATTCGTCAGTATGGGCCAAGACAGAGTAATTCGGGTACTGTGGGTGTTCCTGGGTGGAGGCTAAAGCCCAGATTCCTCAATGCAGTTTTTTAGTAAATTAAATCCATTTGATCATAATCTGGGAGACTGACACCAATATATAAGCAAAACATGTTTGTCTCATGCAATATACAAAACATATGCAAAGGAGATGACACAACCTGTTTGGCACCTGTGGTACCACAGGGAAGTGGGATCACAGTTTCTGGAGAGGTTTGCAGTCCACAGCTCAGAGCAGCTACTCTCACCTACACCATGTTGCTTGTGACCTGAGCACCCCAGAGCTCAGCAGAGGCCTAGCCCTGCTCCTCAGCATAGCAGAAGAGACATGGCTTTACACACAGTACAAACAAGAGCTCCAGGTCTGAAAGGCAGGGAGCAGGACCAACAATTTGAGCTCAGGTAAAGAAGTGAACGTCTCTTTAAACGGTCTCTCGGCAAAGCCCCTTGCCTCTGCTCACACCCTCCTGCAGCACCACCTACACTGACACAAGCTGCACACCAGAACCTAGCAGCGTGAATCTGCACAAAACATACGATAAAAGGGGCAGAGAACACAGAATCCCAACACCAAACTCATCCCACCCTCACCAGGGGTGCCCTTTCCCTGCTGCAGGATCGGGGCAAACCAGGAACTACCTCAGACCCTCCATGGACAGAGCACACGGCTCTGCCCGACTGAAGAGAACAAAGAGCAGGCACTGGGGACCGTGCTGTGTGGGAGGTGAAAGAAGGGGGACCTGGCAGCTCTTCAAAACCTGGCTGTGTGGATACAAGGCTGACAGCAAGCTCACTCAGCTTGGGAGCAGCCACCAAGGGGCACTCAAGGACATTGGCATCTCCAGAGAGCTTTCAGTGCTCTGCAGGAAGAACCAGCCACAGACACACCCTGCAAGAGGGAAGCGTTCAGGTCAGTGAAACACGGCTCAGAAAAGAAAGCAACATGCAGTGTCTTGCAGACTGAAAACCTAAGTGTCATGATGGAGAACTAATGTTCCAACCTAACATCACCTCTGACCCAAATGACGTTTACAAAGGGTTGCCAAATTGTCTCATGGAAGACAAAAACAATTTCCAAATAGTTTGATCGGAACACTTGCCAATATAGTTTCCTGCAACCAGTCATTATCTTCCTACTAGAATAGATCATGAGTGTAATCCTGTAATGGACAGTGTCTGGGCAAAGAAAAACACCCACCCTTTATACTTCCCCTCACAAGACTGTCACCCCTGCAGCACTGCGAGGAGCCCGTGCTCCTCTGCGTCAGGCTGGGCTTAACTCAACAGTCCCCCCAGCACCAAGAAACCACACTGTTATAAATGAAGTCTCAACTCAATTTGAATTTAGTAATATTTATAAAAGGAATATTTATAAAAGGCATAAAAGGCAAGTAAACAGCGCTGGTTGTGCGGGGAGTCTACGCTCCACCAACACACACACACAAACATAACATTGCTTTTACATACTAAACCCGAGTACGCCGATACATATGTACAATTGGAAAAGGTAACAAACAATCCTTTAAGTTCCATGACTTAACAGTCTCCATTTTCCATTCCTTTTCTTGATTACAAACAAGTCTCCATTTTCCCTTCCTTTTGAACAATACGTCTTGCTTTAAGTTGTCAAGCAACTCAATCTTCGGGCCTTATGTATCCCGTTCTTCCCGGATTGAAGAAAAGCATATCCATCTCCTTTTCAAGGCCAATGAGGCCTGGGTCAAAAGGCACGTCCAGGTCACCTGGGTGCGTAACAGCAAAAGCCTTCGAAGGCTGTAGCAGCAGAGGGGCCCATGGCACAGCAGTCGGATCAGTAGAGGAGCCCGCAGCTCCCTCACTGCCTGGCAAACCACATGTTTCTGACTGTGGTCCCACAGGGCTCTTTAAGGCCTCAGAGATTGCTCACCAGGTGCTGAACAATTCCACAGCAACCTTGTCGTTTTAGACTTTAGGTCAAGTCCCACACCTTGACCTCAATTTGGTCCCATATTTCAGGCTCATAAACTGTCTGACTGTTAATAAGGAGAATAAGCTGTAAGGTTACCAGGACAGTCTTTGTTTCTAAGGACGTATGATTCCCCATAATGCGCAGCTGGTTACCAGCGAGGGGCAGTTGTGTGTACGGGGCCAATTCTCTCAGCTTGAGCTTCTTCCCAGCTCCAGCGCGCCTATTTCCAGAGACTTCCTGTACAAGCTTCTCTTAGCGGTTTGCTGGGTTTGGCCGAACCCATATTCATGAGGCAATCAAAGTGCCTGTTCCCGTCTTGGTCTCCGTCCTGCTAGCCTGTTCCTTTTCATTCCTTCTTCCTACTTCTTTATTGATGATATAACTTCATCGTGTTGCCTTCTTTTTTTTTTTTTTTATCTTGAGGACAGGCTCCCCTCTTATACCCTTCTCTCCACAGCAGTTCTTTTCAAAACAATTTTTCATTGGTCAAACAGCTTTGCATATAACAGCAACAGCAAACACCCAGAAACTTCCATGCCTTGACGCCTGGAGAACAAGCAACCCGAGACTGCATGGAGCCTCCTGAATCACCCTTCTTTGCTCCCTCCACTCTTTTACATTCCTGATGGCCTCATCCTTAAGAGTCTGATGTTATCATCAACCACAGGGCTTTCCGACCCCTATGGCCACACTCCCACATCTCCCCCTTCTTTATTAATATCAACCATTTTCTTGACATGAATTACCACTCCATATATAACACACACCATGGGGCAAACCGAAGACTTTATTTTATAACACCTGATTCCACATTTTGTGAACCACCAGTTAGAAATACGCAAGCAACCAAGGCAAGGCAGAGCAGGCTGGCAGGGTGAGCAGAGAATCTGTCCCCTGACACGCTGCTTGAGCCTCTCTCAGTGCCACTGGGCGCTGCCAGCCCCCTTGCTGCACCACACGTTCGCCTTGTTCCAGCTTCAGCCCCGCAGCCTTGGAGCCGTCCTGCAAGCAGCACGCTGACCACGGCCTCTCCCCTCGGTAACTCCAGCACCGCTCCCGCCCGGCTCGGGGCTCGGCCCCCACAGCCTCCCGACCGAAATGGCGGCGGGCCCTCGGCAGGCGGGGAGGGGACGAGGCCCGGCGAGCCCCGCCGGGGGTGCGGGAGCGGCCGCAGCCCCCTGCCCTCGCCCCCCTCAGCCCCGGCGGCCGTTGGGCTGCAACGGCGGCCCCGCGGCACGGCGGCGCCCACGGCCGCAGGGCAGGCAGGCAGCCCGGCGGCTCTGCCGGCGCTGGCTCCTCCCTTCGCCCCGCTCCGTGACCCGGCTGCGGCTGCGGCAGCGCAGGGCGTTGCGAGCCGCTCCGCTCCGCTCCGCGGGGAGCCCCTCGCCTCGCCCGGCCTCGCTGGAAGCAGCTGCCGCCCTCGCGGTCGGTGCCCGAGGCCGGGGTAGCGGTGCCCGCAGGCAGCCCCGGGCCCGGTGGGGCGGGAGCTGCCGCTGCTGCGACACCCCCCGAGCCTGCGGAGCGGCGCCCAGCGGAGCCGAGAGGTGAGGAGGGAGGCAGGTGAGGTGGGAGGGAAGGATGGGGTGCCGGCACCACGCTTGTAGGCGTCTGTTCTGAGAGGCTCGGAACATAAAATGAAAGGTTTAAAAAAAAAAAAAAAAAAAAAAAAAAGGTGGGGGGTGCGTTGCTTGGCCGTCTGTAACCCTCTCGTGAGGTGTTTCTGCCTCGTGTGCTGCGTTTTGTACCCACGGTATCTCCGTCGGACCTAAGTTGCCTCCCCATAGCACAGCAAGCAGCACAAAGTGATGTCTCCAAGGCGTGGATGCACTTTCCCTTTTCAGAAGGGCGAGGCAAAGTCTCTTCATCTGGGGGAAGTCAGTTTGGTTGGGGATTTCTTTTGTTTAATGTGCATGTGGTTCTGCCTGTGTGTCCGGGAGGTCATGGGCACGCTTCATGCTGAAAAAGAAAGGTGGTGGGGTTACGCGGTCTTGGGTGGCTGGTGGTTCCTGGGGCTTCGTTCCTCAGGTTCCAAATTTGGAGGAACTTCTGTCTTCACAACAGGGTTTCTCCTCATTGTAGGCTGAAGTGGCTGACTGTCCAAGCTGGAGTCACACGTTTTTAATAAATTGCTTTGGACCAGCAGGTCCTAGAAAATGGGGTACAAATCCATAATTTCATAAAGTACCCCTAGGAGGAGGCAGTCTAGGTTTGTTGTGGATGTTGCTGAGGCAGTATAGTGAGTTTCGCTGTAACAGCTGGATTTTCTGAAGCCCCAAATGCATTTCTGTCTTGTGTACTGTATATCTGTGTGCTCAGGGTATTAAGTGAATCAGAGGCCATTGTGGACCAATCCAGAGATCCCTAGATCACGGCACAGCGTAGAAAGCTTTGTTTGTAAGTGCTATAGTACAGGTGCAAAATTCGTGTTTATGTTTCTTCTGTAATATTTTAAGCGCTTGTAAATAAAATTCCTGCAATTTGCAGTATTATGTTCAAAAACAGGGTTTGGTGTCTTGATCAATGAGAACACTGTGAAGGCATTTCTCGTGGTTTCCTTTATGTGTCTAAGTAAGTTCAAGATCAGGCTGTAAGTCACTTCCTGGAAGTTAATCACCATGCTGGGGGAGAGTACAAGGTGAGGGGTGTCACGAAATCTTCAACTGCTGCGGGAGTTGCAAGGTGACTTACACATGAAGACACTGAGCAAATGCAGTATAGTAATAAATGTTTGGTCTCTGTTTGCCTAACTTGTATGCATAGGTTTTGGGTTTGTTTGTTTTTTTTTTTTCCTTGGTCTTATCTGACTCCTGATATTTTATTTCTATATCAAAGGTTACACATCCAGTTTGTGTGCTGAAACTTAGGTTGCTGACCTGTAATGCAAGTCTTTGTCTACCAAATTTTAATAAACAGGTAACGTTTTGATTGCCTTGCCATAAAACATATTTTCTGGTCACAGTTTTCATTATAACTAGAAGTATCGGTCCATGAAAGCAAGTGATCATGCCAACACAGTACAGATCCTGAATGATCTGGTGCCTGAAGGGTCACGGTGGCTTAGTACTCTTGCTGCACAGGCATCCCTCTTATAAAGATCCACCATTTTGAATCATACGTGGATGATGATACCTCGTGTGATGCCGTGAGTCAGGCACCTGCTCAGACATGACCCTTTGCCCACCACTTCCTACTGGTAGTTCTATATGACTGACAGTTCAGCATGCAGTGTGTTGAAGTGTGTTAGGGAGGCAGTGGGCTCTCTACATAATCATTGCAGAAAGTGCCTCCATCCTTTAGTGTCTGCAAATCACAGTCAGAAGGCCTTCAGAGATTTCTAGCCCTTTCCATTGATAAGGAACAGAGCTTGGATAGGCTGTAAAGATCATCAGACTCATCCTGAAGGGAGAAACAATGAATTTGGAAATTATTTTGGCTCAGAGATAGGCTGTGCCTATCACTGGGATGAACAGCCTGTTGAGCTGCAGGTGTATGAGTTAACTGCACATCACTGTGCTATTAACTTTGAGACCCTGGATAATTGAGCCAAAGTAAAACCAGCTTACAGGGCTGCTCGAGTTACACTCAGTGCCCCTATAAAACACATGCTTATCATTGTTAATCTTAGCAAACTTACAAAAGAGAAAATAGGTATTGTAAGATATTATTTTTTTAACAAGTAGGGAAAAAATGGACTAAAGCACATCAAATTCTTCATATAAAGTCAGACATTCCTGTTTTTTTTTTTCCATATACTCATAGCATGAGAGATCCTCCAGCTAGGTCAGAGGAGGAGGTTAAAGACTTCATTATGAAATCAACAAACTGTAGTATCTTGTATGTTTCTGTAGTATTTATGTATGTTTCTGCAGCATGATGCTTATGCCTGGTTAGGTGGTTACTTGTGTTAGTTGACTACACTCCTTCCTGTAGGTAATAGCACTATCAGTTTTTTTTACCTGCACTTTGTTCACTTAACCATTAGTGCACAAAACAATCAGAATCCATTGAAGTAATGCCCCAATTTGTGTTGTTTGTTTTTTTTTTTTTCTTCTAGATTTGAGGCCACAAGGCAGGCATCATTCTTTACAGATAATTTAAAAGACATGAGGTGAACTGTGAATTTGTGTCAAAAATATCTGCTAAACTTAATTCTCCCTTTTTTTGTTACCTATGTTATGAGCTATAACAAATAAGGCAGGATAGGAATTTGTCATCCAGTAGAAACAGAAATTGATCGTTGCAGCTGGTTACTTGCCCTATTAACAAGTGTCCTAATTAGAGGTTATGGAATGTCAAACTGTTACAGAATTAAGTGGCAAATACTGTCAAACTGTTGTCTTTTATAGGAAGAACAGGAAGACTTCTAAACCTTCCTGAGGCTTTGTCTCTGAGAGAAGTGGGGCTACAGGCAGGAAATCTGTGAAACCTGAGAATTTGCAAGTAATCATGCTTTCTCTCTTTCTTGGAAATCTCTGAAGTGTTGCAGACCTCTGTGCTGATCTTAGCCTCTCATTTGTTTCCCTTGGCAACACAGCTTCTTGTCTTCATGATGGAAGTTAGTTTTATCTATGATGATATGTGTTGCAGGTATCTTGTTTCAGTATGTCAACTGAACCATCAAAGAACAATCATATAATAGGCGTTTCTTTTGTTTCTTCCCTCTTCTGGCTTAATATGCCCAGGTACACTAACTTTTATGGGGGACTGTTATGGATTTCCTAAAGGAAGAATAGAGCACTGTTTCTCTATGCAATGCCTAAAATATCCTTTTAATGGGTTATTGGAGAGATGCTGTCCTGTGTTGCATAAGTATATTTCAGTCACTGCCTAAAAATTCTACTGATCTGTAAATCCTAGTTGTTCTGGTGATACTTTATCAGTTACATCAAAATTGCTTTTCTGCTGAAACTGAATGGTGTTACCAAAATGGGAGAGGGAGAAATTGTGTTTCGTTTTGACAGAAGAAACCACGAGACAAAGAACCATCTGAGTTCACAGGCCACTGGTTCACAGGTGCATGTTTTGGTGTTCAGAACTTCTGGTCTGTTATTCCGGACATTCCCTTAAAAGCAGCTAATAATTGGTGTAGACAGAGCATATTAATAAATCAGGTAGCAAGCCATCATTATCACATACAGCATAAGTGCACAGGGTTACATAACAGTAGCACAGACATAGCAGATCTTGACTTCAAAACAGTCTGTGTAAAAAGGAATGAGAAATAGATGTGGGTCAGAGCCCTTTGTACTCTGAAGTGATGGGAAATGTCTGTGGGTTCCGCAGTCATAGTCTTTGTAGTGGTGGTGCTTCTCCCCAAAGTGATTAATTCAGTTTCGTAGTCAACTTACTGATACCCTAAGTTTAAAACATGCATCAGCACAACCCTCCCATCTCAGTCACTGACCTTCAGCAGTTAACCTCCGTGGGTTGGATCAGTGTCCTGCCAGCTGAATAGGTAAGTGCCAGGTGTTAGGGAGAAACCGAAAGAAAATGATATTAAATTAAGATCATGGCAAAGTGTAAGAGGTCTGAGTGGTGGAATAAACTGTCAGTTTTGAGTTACTGCTTGAGGTGGCAAGTGAGGTTTTCTTTATGTCTGCTTCCTTTTTGTGGAAGGGGAAATAATGAGATGGACTTTATTACCCATGGGTAAAGAGACTTCACATATGCATTTGTGTTGTATGACTTTCTTCCGTACCAGGAACAGAAAGCGTAGATGAGCAAACAGTTCTTTCATGTGTCATGTTGGGTATTATTTGCTTGTTGTAGTGGTTTATCAGATTCTCAGCAGACCTGATAGCAATCTAATTTTATTGAAGTGGTTTCTTAATGCAGTAATATTTGTATCTGTTCCAAAGGGAAAACTGTCCCTAGAAAACATCCGATGGTATGGAAGTAGCTACATTCACAAACTGCAGTCAACCAAATGTTTGCTGAGCAACTTTAAAAGTCTTCAAAGAATTGTTCTCACTTTTTTAGCTGTTGAAAAACACATTTTTGTAATTCATCTTGTTTAGATGAAAATAAAGCTCAATTTTGTGATGTAAGATTGAGCAATGAGTGGTGTAACCATACAGGGAACATTTGGGTTTGTCAGATCAGTGCATGGAAGATCTCTGCACATGATTTCTCCCTCTCAGTGCCGAAGGGGGTAAAGATGCTACTGTTTGTACACCACCAACAGTGAGACCTCCAGAGAGACCTTTAGGCAGCATCTGGGGAGGTGTGTGGGACTGGTCCTTCACAGGAGGAGAAAACAAGGATATAACCATAACCATGACCCACAACCAGGAGAAAGCATTGTATAGCTCAGCAGGTGCCTGTAGGAGCTAGTGAAGCCTAGGAGGAGATCTTGTCAATGCTCTTTAAACATAGCCACAGGGCCGAGAGGCAGTGTTAAATTATGAACCGTTACTGAGACAGGCTTTTCTAGTGCCAAGACTGGTAGCTCCTACCATGAAGAGCAACTTCTCCATTGAATGATGTGGGGTTGTCAGCAAATGGTTCATTGTGGTGCTTCTCTCTGAAAGGCCCTTCTGTTGTT